ATTTGATAGTATAGCAGATTTTTCTATAGAAATAACTTTTATAACAAATTTTCTTTAGAAAGTTGTACTTTTTTTATAAAAATAATGTTTTTCTCTAACAAGAAAACTAATACCGTCTATATCTCAATGATATTCAGATAACAACAAATAATAGGTATAATAACAATTTCTTACTATTAAGAGGAATAGGCTTTTGGTACTTATGATATCACAGGTGCTTAATGAGCGCACCTGTGATATCACAATATTACTTTTTCAAAAAACGTATGCAGTTCCAATATAATATGCAAAATTTTGTGAAATATGTAGAACGTTCTAATCTAAAAAACTGGCACTTTTGATAATAGAAGAATCCAGCAATACTTCTTCAAGGTAAATAAATTAAAAAAACAAACTGTCTCGAACCCGGCGTTTTGGGACAGAAGTTTTTCATTTCTCTATAATACTTCCTTATGAACTTTTAATAAGGTACTACCAGCCTAAGTACACCATGATTCTAGCCAATTTATAATTAGCTGGATTTGCGACCTTCGCATAAAACCAACTCTTCATAACAAAACTATCTAAAGCCAAGTTTTAAATATTGGAATATTATCATATTTTGACGTTTATACAAATTTTGGAAATATGTATGTACATATATCCAAAGTGTTTTAATTTCTTCCCATTTCCTATAAACTATGACCTATTCTGTCATTTATTGTTCTGCGCAACAACAAAAACTTGTTCAGTCAACTTATATATTAGCCACACGTCATTTGGCCAAAAAAACGCATTGCATTTTTTGAGGTTAAATCCGAACCAAAAAAGTAAACGTGGTTTCGGCTTCCTACTAACAAAAGCAAATTAAAATAAGCAATAAATAAACACACAGTAGTATAATATAGTTTTTTATCACTCCAAGCAATAATCCAAAGATTTAACTTTTTATTTTTAAACAACTTTTGCACAAATAATGTGTAAAATACAGTTGAACAAAAATGCCTCCAGGCAAACACCGGGAAACAACAATTAGAACTTGAAGATCTTTTTAGGTTTAACGTAATGCAAAAACCTGTAAGGAAAAGAAACAAAAAGTTATTAGTAAAATATTCCATAAGTTTCAAAGAGGTTTGGTTTAATGTTCTTTGGGAACACAATACTTACATTGTACTTGTCTAATATAGAGCAATCAGCAGTTTATTTGGAACGTGCACGCATCTTTCTGCGCTTACGCTTCAACCTACGCATACGCTTCTTACGCCACTAAAATTAGAATTAAATAAAAAAAATTATTAATATTTTTTTATAAAACTAAAAAATTGCAATATTTTTTTTATTGGTTGAGAAAAAAACACGTGTTTTTATTAGCACTTGGCAAATTAGCCATTCAGAAAGTTAAGTGTTATAAAGCAAAATAATTTACAATTTTAACTTTTATCACAAAATATTAATTTTATTATAACTTTTTACAAAATTTATTAATATTTTCTACAATTTAACACTTTTTTTCCAATTAAAAACACGTATTTTTTTGCACTTAGAAGAAAAAACAAATGGCGTCTACAGCAGGCGTTAACTGTTATACATAAAAATTGTTTGCCTAAATTTTCCACATATAATTCATAAAAAGTTTTTACATTTTCTGTGATTTATTGTTTTCAATTTATTTATAAATTTTAATGTTTATTTCGTTAACACTTGTTGTAATTGTTTATTTTTTCTAATAATTAAACACTTTTCTAATTTTTATATATTTTAATAGTATTTGATTTTTACCTTAGCTCTCATAGTTCTTCTATAGTCGAAGACGTCTGAGAATAAAAGAAAGATGAAACGGAAGTTCTGCTATTCATTGACTTTGCTTGAAGAAAAATTACCCCTACAGTGTTGTAATTTTTTGTGGCCAGCGTTGTATTTTCAATTATATAAGCAGTGTTGTATTTGTAGTGCTGCTGAATATGAAATTAAGATGGCGCTTGTGTTTAGCATAGACAAATAGATGGCTCTGCTGGTTAGCAGAGACTAGCACCAGTTAGTTTTCTTTTGTAAACATTGTGTTTATATTTTTGTTTCAAATTAGGGAAATTTTTTGCATTTAAAGGGATTTTTTAATAAAACTCTTTCAGGGTAAAACTTTTTTAAACAAAATTGAAATAGTCTGCTATAGACTACGTACTGCTATTTAGTACAAGCTTAAAACTGTTCTACAGTCCATACTATAGACTGTTCTATAGTCCAGACAATAGACTGTTCGGTAGTTCCGACTATAAACTGTCCTATAGTCCAGACTATAGACTGCTCTGTAATCCAGACTATAGACTGCTCTGTAATCCAGACTATAGACTGTTCTATAGTACAGACTATAGACTGTTCTATAGTTCAGACTAAAGACTGTTCTATAGTCCAGACTATAGACTGTTCTATAGTCCAGACTATAGACTGTTCTATAGTCCAGACTATAGACTGTTCTATAGTCCAGACTATAGACTGTTCTATAGTCCAGACTATAGACTGTTCTATAGTCCAGACTATAGACTGTTCTATAGTCCAGACTATAGACTGTTCTATAGTTCAGACTATAGACTGTTCTATAGTCCAGACTATAGACTGTTCTATAGTCCAGACTATAGACTGTTCTATAGTCCAGACTATAGACTGTTCTATAGTCCAGACTATAGACTGACTGTTCTATAGTCCAGACTATAGACTGACTGTTCTATAGTCCAGACTATAGACTGACTGTTCTATAGTCCAGACTATAGACTGTTCTATTGTCCAGACTATAGACTGACTGTTCTATAGTCCAGACTATAGACTGACTGTTCTATAGTCCAGACTATAGACTGACTGTTCTATATTCCAGACTATAGACTGACTGTTCTATAGTCCAGACTATAGACTGTTCTATAGTCCAGACTATAGACTGACTGTTCTATAGTCCAGACTATAGACTGTTCTATAGTCCAGACTATAGACTGACTGTTCTATAGTCCAGACTATTGACTGTTCTATAGTCCAGACTGTTGACTGTTCTATAGTCCAGACTATAGACTGTTCTATAGTCCAGACTATAGACTGTTCTATAGTCCAGACTGTTGACTGTTCTATAGTCCAGACTATAGACTGTTCTATAGTCCAGACTATAGACTGTTCTATAGTCCAGACTATAGACTGTTCTATAGTCCAGACTATAGACTGTTCTATAGTCCAGACTATAGACTGTTCTATAGTCCAGACTATAGACTGTTCTATAGTCCAGACTATAGACTGTTGTATAGTCCACACTATAGACTGTGCTATAGTCCAGACTATAGACTGTTCTATAGTCCAGACTATAGACTGTTCTATAGTCCAGACTATAGACTGTTCTATAGTCCAGACTATAGACTGTTCTATAGTCCAGACTATAGACTGTTCTATAGTCCAGACTATAGACTGTTCTATAGTCCAGACTATAGACTGTTCTATAGTCCAGACTATAGACTGTTCTATAGTCCAGACTATAACTGTTCTATAGTCCAGACTATAGACTGTTCTATAGTCCAGACTATAGACTGTTCTATAGTCCAGACTATAGACTGTTCTATAGTCCAGACTATAGACTGTTCTATAGTCCAGACTATAGACTGTTCTATAGTTCAGACTATAGACTGTTCTATAGTCCAGACTATAGACTGTTCTATAGTCCAGACTATAGACTGTTCTATAGTCCAGACTATAGACTGTTCTATAGTCCAGACTATAGACTGACTGTTCTATAGTCCAGACTATAGACTGACTGTTCTATAGTCCAGACTATAGACTGACTGTTCTATAGTCCAGACTATAGACTGACTGTTCTATAGTCCAGACTATAGACTGTTCTATAGTCCAGACTATAGACTGACTGTTCTATAGTCCAGACTATTGACTGTTCTATAGTCCAGACTATAGACTGTTCTATAGTCCAGACTATAGACTGTTCTATAGTCCAGACTATAGACTGTTCTATAGTCCAGACTATAGACTGTTCTATAGTCCAGACTATAGACTGTTCTATAGTCCAGACTATAGACTGTTCTATAGTCCAGACTATAGACTGTTCTATAGTCCAGACTATAGACTGTTCTATAGTCCAGACTATAGACTGTTCTATAGTCCAGACTATAGACTGTTCTATAGTTCAGACTATAGACTGTTCTATAGTCCAGACTATAGACTGTTCTATAGTCCAGACTATAGACTGTTCTATAGTCCAGACTATAGACTGACTGTTCTATAGTCCAGACTATAGACTGACTGTTCTATAGTCCAGACTATAGACTGTTCTATAGTCCAGACTATAGACTGTTCTATAGTCCAGACTATAGACTGACTGTTCTATAGTCCAGACTATTGACTGTTCTATAGTCCAGACTATAGACTGTTCTATAGTCCAGACTATAGACTGTTCTATAGTCCAGACTATAGACTGTTCTATAGTCCAGACTATAGACTGTTCTATAGTCCAGACTATAGACTGTTCTATAGTCCAGACTATAGACTGTTCTATAGTCCAGACTATAGACTGTTCTATAGCCCAGACTATAGACTGTTCTATAGTCCAGACTATAGACTGTTCTATAGTCCAGACTATAGACTGTTCTATAGTCCAGACTATAGACTGTTCTATAGTCCAGACTATAGACTGTTCTATAGTCCAGACTATAGACTGTTCTATAGCCCAGACTATAGACTGTTCTATAGTCCAGACTATAGACTGTTCTATAGTCCAGACTATAGACTGTTCTATAGTCCAGACTATAGACTGTTGTATAGTCCACACTATAGATAGTTCTATAGTCTGGATTATAGAACAGTCTGTAGTCTGGATTATAGAACAGTCCACACTATAGACTGTTGTATAGTCCAGACTATAGTTCACGCTATGTATATACAACTTTATAGTCCAAACTATAGACTACTCTATTATTATCATATCTTCTGCTGCTTTTGAACTTTTATTTACTATTCAAAATTTTCTTTTTTTTTCCAGACTTTCTGTGTGGTTTCGAAACGTTTTCGGAAAAACTACATACATCGCTTTACGGGCACAAAAAGTTTATTTCTATTTCATCCCTGGAGTATGGCGAGACGAGTATGCGTGTATATAGCAACAAATCAGTATTTCGATTATTGCGTTATGGCTACAATATTGTTTAACTGTATTTTTTTAGCCATGACCGAAACAGTCGAAGAAGCTGAGTAAGTTAGCAATCGAAATTAGGAAGAATTAATACATGTTTAACATTCAAAATAGAAATCATTGAAAGCTAACTAACTAACTAATCCCCCCAAATAATCATTAACCTTGCATGAAAAAAAATTCAGTCAATCAAATCAAGCAATCAATCAGTACTATTAATTCTTTCTAAACTTTGGTTGTGAGGAAATAATTTCTTTCAATATCTCTCTCTATGTGTGTGTGTGTATATGACTACTGATCTACTTTTCCTGGGCTACCAGTGTCTTATTTATGTGGTATAATGTTGTGTATGTTTGTATATTTTTAATTCTTCCCTTTTACAGATATATCTTCCTAGCGATTTATACCATTGAAATGGTTATAAAAATCATTGCCAAAGGCTTCCTGCTCAATAAATACACATATTTGCGCAATCCTTGGAATTGGTTGGATTTTGTGGTCATAGCCAGTGGTTATGCCACCATTGGCATGGATGTAGGCAACTTGGCCGGGTTGCGTACATTTCGTGTGTTGAGAGCTTTAAAGACTGTTTCTATAATGCCAGGTTTAAAGACTATTATTAATGCACTACTGCACTCATTTCGTCAATTGGCCGAGGTCATGACGTTGACCATATTTTGTTTAATGGTCTTTGCACTATTTGCACTGCAGGTAAGTTGGTTGATTTTGTTGTTGTTTTTCATTGTACAGATCAACAAATTTGTTCTCGTGGGATTGAAGTATACTTTTCTAAGGTAGTGATTCCGAATCTGAACTCAGACTTTGAAATTGGATACAAACGAGATTTCTTTCATCTTGGTGTTAAGATATCTCGAAAAGCTGATGTGTTAGAAAAACTCAGAGGTCAGATTCGTATTCAAAAAAGTATGCTCCAGTCCCTGGGTCCCGACTATTTTCAAATTCTGTTGTTTTGTGTTTGTGTACTAAAATCTTTATTAATTTCTCTTTTGTTTTCTATTTATAAATAGGTTTACATGGGAGAATTACGTAATAAATGTGTTAAAAATGTACCCGATGAATGGTCGAATACTTCAGATCTTGAATGGAGATTGTAGGTTTTTCTATTTTGAATTTATTTATATCCCCACTATTTTATAGTATCGATTATGAACTATTCTATAGTATCCATACTGTTCTGACAATACGACTATAGAGCTTTTATAGTCTAGACTGTAGACTGTTCTCAACTATAAACTGTCCCATAGCCTTGACTATAGACAGTTTTATAGCCTCGACTATAGACTGTTCTATAATATCGGCTATAGACTGTTCTATAGGCTTGACTACAGACTTTACTATAGTCTGGATTATATAATGTTCTATAGCCTTGACTATAGACTGTTCTATAGCCTCGACTATAGACTGTTCTATAGCTTCGACTATAGACGGTTCTATAGCGTCGACTATAGACAGTTCTATAGCCTCGACTATAGACTGTTCTATAGCCTCGACTATAGACGGTTCTATAGCGTCGACTATAGACTGTTCTATAGCCTCGACTATAGACTTTTCTATAGCCTCGAATATAGAATTTTCCATAGCATCGACTATAGACTGTTCTATAGCCTCGACTATAGATTGTTCTATAGCCTCGACTATAGATTGTTCTATAGCCTCAACTATAGACTGTTCTATAGCCTCGACTATAGACTGTTCTATAGCCTCGACTATATAGACTTTTCTATAGCCTCGACTAAAGACTGTTCTATAGCATCGACTATAGATTGTTCTATAGCCTCGACTATAGATTGTTCTATAGCCTCGACTATAGACTTTTCTATAGCCTCTACTATAGATTGTTCTATAGCCTCGACTATAGACTGTTCTATAGCCTCGACTATAGACTGATCTATAGCCTCGACTATAGACTTTTCTATAGCCTCGACTAAAGACTGTTCTATAGCATCGACTATAGATTGTTCTATAGCATCGACTATAGATTATTCTATAGCCTCGACTATAGATTGTTCGATAGCCTTGACTATAGAATTTTCCATAGCCTCGACTATAGACTGTTCTATAGCCTCGACTATAGACTGATCTACAGCCTCGACTATAGACTTTTCTATAGCCTCGACTAAAGACTGTTCTATAGCATCGACTATAGATTGTTCTATAGCCTCGACTATAGATTGTTCTATAGCCTCGACTATAGACTTTTCTATAGCCTCTACTATAGATTGTTCTATAGCCTCGACTATAGACTGTTCTATAGCCTCGACTATAGACTGTTCTATAGCCTCGACTATAGATTGTTCTATAGCCTCGAGTATAGATTGTTCTATAGCCTCGACTATAGATTGTTCTATAGCCTCGACTATAGATTGTTCTATAGCCTCGACTATAGATTGTTCTATAGCCTCGACTATAGACTTTTCTATAGCCTCTACTATAGATTATTCTATAGCCTCGACTATAGATTGTTCTATAGTCTCGACTATAGACTTTTCTATAGCCTCGACTATAGATTTTTCTATAGCCTCGACTATAGACTGTTTTGTAACCTCGACTATAGACTGTTCTATAGCCTCGACTATAGACTTTTCTATAGCCTTGACTATAGACTTTTCCATAGCATCGACTATAGACTTTTCCATAGCATCGACTATAGACTTTTCCATAGCATCGACTATAGACTGTTCTATAGCCTCGACTAAAGGCTGTTCTATAGCATCGACTATAGATTGTTCTATAGCCTCGACTATAGATTGTTCTATAGCCTCGACTATAGATTGTTCTATAGCCTCGACTATAGACTTTTCTATAGCCTCTACTATAGATTGTTCTATAGCCTCGACTATAGACTGTTCTATAGCCTCGACTATAGACTGTTCTATAGCCTCGACTATAGATTGTTCTATAGCCTCGACTATAGATTGTTCTATAGCCTCGACTATAGATTGTTCTATAGCCTCGACTATAGATTATTCTATAGCCTCGACTATAGATTGTTCTATAGCCTTGACTATATATCCTCGACTATAGACTGTTCTATAGCCTCGACTATAGACTGATCTATAGCCTCGACTATAGACTTTTCTATAGCCTCTACTAAAGACTGTTCTATAGCATCGACTATAGATTGTTCTATAGCCTCGACTATAGATTGTTCTATAGCCTCGACTATAGACTTTTCTATAGCCTCTACTATAGATTGTTCTATAGCCTCGACTATAGACTGTTCTATAGCCTCGACTATAGATTGTTCTATAGCCTCGACTATAGATTGTTCTATAGCCTCGACTATAGATTGTTCTATAGCCTCGACTATAGACTGTTCTATAGCCTCGACTATAGATTGTTCTATAGCCTCGACTATAGATTATTCTATAGCCTCGACTATAGATTGTTCTATAGCCTCGACTGTAGACTTTTCTATAGCCTCGACTATAGATTGTTCTATAGCCTCGACTATAGATTATTCTATAGCCTCGACTATAGATTGTTCTATAGCCTCGACTATAGACTTTTCTATAGCCTCGACTATAGATTTTTCTATAGCCTCGACTATAGACTGTTCTATAACCTCGACTATAGATTGTTCTATAGCCTCGACTATAGATTGTTCTATAGCCTCGACTATAGATTGTTCTATAGCCTCGACTATAGATTGTTCTATAGCCTCGACTATAGACTTGTCTATAGTCCGACTATAGATTGTTCTATAGCCTCGACTATAGATTGTTCTATAGCCTCGACTATAGACTGTTCTATAGCCTCGACTATATATTGTTATATAGCCTCGAATAAAGACTGTTCTATAGCATTGACTATAGACAGTTCTATAGTCTCGACTATAAAGTGTTCTTTAGTCTCAACTATAGACTATTCCATAGTTCCGACTATCGGTCAAGCCGAATATTACCCACGTTTATCTTAATTATTTCAACACTTTTAACCTGAAACTCTTTTTTTCTAGATGGATCAACGACACTGAAAATTGGTTGTATGACGATGAGGAGCTGCCCATGTTGTGCGGTAATTTAACGGGCGCCCGTCATTGTCCAATGGGTTATACATGCCTGTGCGTTGGCGAAAATCCCAATCATGGTTATACGAATTTCGATAATTTCATGTGGTCGATGTTGACAACATTTCAATTGATAACATTGGACTATTGGGAGAATGTGTACAATATGGTGTTGGCCACATCGGGGCCAATGAGTGTGTCATTTTTTACAGTGGTTGTGTTTTTTGGTTCATTTTATTTAATTAATCTAATGTTAGCCGTAGTCGCTCTAAGTTACGAGGAAGAAGCCGAAATAACAAATGAAGTGAGTGGAGAAATTAAAGAAAATGGCCGGAAACATTATTTATTACATTTTTTTTATTTTTACTTTTAAGGAACGCAAAAAAGACTTATTGGATCATCGAGATGATTCGACATTTAGCTTCGACCCGTCCGTTTTGAATGTAAAAAAATTAAATAAAAGTAATAATAAAAAGAAGATAGATTCGCGTAAAGGTGTTTTATTGGCCTCCTATAGTAAAAAGAAGACGAGAAGAAAAAAGTGTCCCAAAGGAACGGGCAAAGAAGGCGGCAATGCTACGGACAGTAATGGCAATGGAACGGTAAATATTCTAATAAAACTATTAACATCATTTAAGCTTGATATAACCTATTTCTAACTTAACAACAGCATCACAGTAAAAATGATTCACTCACGCCAACACCCAGTCCTAGTCCACGTCACAGCGGCTGTGAACGTCCTACCGATTTAGCCTTGAAATGTGAACACTCCGATGAGAAGACGACACACGGAGACAAACAACAGCAACAACAACAGCAGCAGCAACAACAAAATCGTCAGTCACGCATATGCTTTCAAGACGATGCTGCAAAGAATCCCAATATGTTATATCCCTCCCATCCACTTATGCCCAGTCGTCAGGCGAGTTCAAATTCCAGTGGGGTAAATCGTGAATCATCACAAGATGATTCGGGTGTTGTGGATGATCATGATGAGCAGGATATAACGGCTTCCGAAGTTGTCAATGTTTCGGCTACCGATACACAAAATGATCATACGGCTGTAACGTTAGCTCTGTCGCCGCGGGAGGTGCGCTTAATTAAGTGTAATGGTAATATAGCACGCATTAAGAAGCATAATATTTATGCTTTACATCCGGAATACTCTTCCGAAATTGTTGTAATCGGTAAGTGTTGTTTTGAATTGATTTCAAGGTGTGAAATGTTTGGACTATAGACTGGAATACTGACTGACTATAGTCTGGACTATAGACTGACTATAATTTGGACTACAGTCAGACTATAGTCTAGACTAAAGACTGACTAGAGTCTGGGCTATAACTTGACTACAGTCTGGTCTATAGATTGACAATAATCTGAACTATAGACTAACTATAGTCTGTAATAAAGACCGACTATACTCTGGACTATAGACGACTATAGTCTGGAATACGGACTGACTATAGTGTGGACTACGGACTGACTACAGTTTGTACTACGGACTGGCTATAGTCTGGACTATAGACCGACTTTAGTCTGCACAATAGACTGACAATAGTCTGGACTATAGACTGACTATAGTCTGTACTATAGACTAACTATAGTATGTACTATAGACTGACTATAGTCTGGACTGTAGACTGACTATAGTCTGGACTATAGACTGGACTATAGACTGACTAAAGTCAGAACTACAGCCTGACTATAGTCTGGACCATAGACTGACCATAGTCTAGACAATATACAGAGTTTAGTCTGGACTATACACTGACTATATTCTGTACTATAAACTGACTATATTCTGGCCTATAGATTAACTATAGTCTGGACTATAAATGAACTATGGTCTGGACTATAGTCCGAACTAGACTATAGACGATTAATCCGTTTACTTAAGAAACAATTTTTAAACTTTTTAATAACGTCGTTTGTCATTTTACAGATGATCTTCCTGATCGTAATTGTGATAGATGTGTTCAATGTTGTATTGACTACGAGGGTTGGTTGCAATTTCAAAATTGCCTTTATAAAGTTGTACGCGATCCCCTATTTGAATTGGCCATAACGTTGTGTATTGTATTGAATACAGCATTTTTAGCCATGGAACATCATGGCATGAGTGAGAGTTTTCGCAATGCCTTGGATGTGGGGAATAAGGTGGGTAAAAGATTTATGAAAAATTTCATTATAATGAAGAATTATCATTGAAAACATTTTTTTACTCTGTATTAATTAACACAAAATAATTTCACTTAAGGTTTTCACTTCCATTTTCACCTTTGAGTGTATCATTAAATTGATGGCCCTGTCCAAAGAGTTTTTTCTTTGTGGCTGGAATATTTTCGATTTAATTATTGTTACGGCTTCCTTGTTGGACATTATATTTGAGCTGGTCGATGGTTTAAGTGTTTTAAGGGGCTTGAGATTGGTAAGTTTTGTATTTTTTTTTTTTTAAGGAAAAGTGAAAACATTTTATCTTAACTTTTTTTATTTTATTCTTTATTTATTAACTTAAGTTAAGGGTCCTTAAACTGGCTCAATCTTGGACTACTATGAAAGTATTATTGAGCATTATTATATCGACAATTGGTGCTTTGGGTAATCTAACTTTGATATTGGTCATTGTCATTTATATATTTGCCGTTATTGGCATGCAACTATTTTCAAAAGACTATACGCCAGAAAAATTTGAACCAGATCCAGTGCCAAGGTAGGAAAATGAACGTTATATATTAAAATTTATGGCTTAAGTATATTGATTTAGGTATTAAGATTTTTCGATACACCTTTGTTCTTTCTTAGTATTTAAGATTCGTTTTTAATTCTCTTGATTTATTTCATTTTTTTAGATGGAATTTCAATGATTTTTTCCATTCCTTTATGATGATTTTTCGTATCTTATGCGGAGAATGGATTGAACCTTTATGGGATTGTATGAGAGCTGAAGAAGAGGTAAATATTTAATAATCTTTAATTTATAACTACATATAACTTATAGTTCAGACTATGATCAGTCTACAGTCCATGGTATACTCAACCTATAGTCCTGACTAAAAACAGTCTGTAGTCTAGACTATAGTCTTAACTAGACTAAAGTTAGTATAAAGATAGTCAATAATCCACAATATGGTAGGTCTATAGTGCAGACTAAAGTTAGTTAGTTTATAGTCTAGTCTATAGTCTAGTCTATAGTCTAGTCTAGTGTAGACTAGTCTAGTCTATAGTCTAGTCTATAGTCTATAATCTAGTCTATAGTCTAGTCTAGTCTGTAGTCTAGTCTATAGTTCTAGTCTATAGTCTAGTCTATAGTCTAGTCTGTAGTCTAGTCTATAGTCTAGTCTATAGTCTAATCTATAGGTCTAGTCTATTAGTCTAGTCTATAGTCTAGTCTATAGTCTAGTCTATAGGTCTAGTCTATAGTCTAGTCTATAGTCTAGTCTATAGTCTAGTCTATAGTCTAGTCTATAGTCTAGTCTATAGTCTAGTCTATAGTCTAGTCTATAGTCTAGTCTATAGTCTAGTCTATAGTCTATCTATAGTCTAGTCTATAGTCTAGTCTATAGTCTAGTCTATAGTCTAGTCTAGTCTAGTCTATAGTCTAGTCTATAGTCTATAGTCTAGTCTATAGTCTAGTCTATAGTCTAGTCTATAGTCTAGTCTATAGTCTAGTCTATAGTCTAGTCTATAGTCTAGTCTATAGTCTAGTCTATAGTCTAGTTCTATAGTCTAGTCTATAGTCTAGTCTATAGTCTAGTCTATAGTCTAGTCTATAGTCTAGTCTATAGTCTAGTCTATAGTCTAGTCTATAGTCTAGTCTATAGTCTAGTCTATAGTCTAGTCTATAGTCTAGTTAGTCTAGTCTATAGTCTAGTCTATAGTCTAGTCTATAGTCTAGTCTATAGTCTAGTCTATAGTCTAGTCTATAGTCTAGTCTATAGTCTAGTCTATAGTCTAGTCTATAGTCTAGTCTATAGTCTAGTCTATAGTCTAGTCTATAGTCTAGTCTATAGTCTAGTCTATAGTCTAGTCTATAGTCTAGTCTATAGTCTAGTCTATAGTCTAGTCTATAGTCTAGTCTATAGTCTAGTCTATAGTCTAGTCTATAGTCTAGTCTATAGTCTAGTCTATAGTCTAGTCTATAGTCTAGTCTATAGTCTAGTCTATAGTCTAGTCTATAGTCTAGTCTATAGTCTAGTCTATAGTCTAGTCTATAGTCTAGTCTATAGTCTAGTCTATAGTCTAGTCTATAGTCTAGTCTATAGTCTAGTCTATAGTCTAGTCTATAGTCTAGTCTATAGTCTAGTCTATAGTCTAGTCTATAGTCTAGTCTATAGTCTAGTCTATAGTCTAGTCTATAGTCTAGTCTATATCTAGTCTATAGTCTAGTCTATAGTCTAGTCTATAGTCTAGTCTATAGTCTAGTCTATAGTCTAGTCTATAGTCTAGTCTATAGTCTAGTCTATAGTCTAGTCTATAGTCTAGTCTATAGTCTAGTCTATAGTCTAGTCTATAGTCTAGTCTATAGTCTAGTCTATAGTCTAGTCTATAGTCTAGTCTATAGTCTAGTCTATAGTCTAGTCTATAGTCTAGTCTATAGTCTAGTCTATAGTCTAGTCTATAGTCTAGTCTATAGTCTAGTCTATAGTCTAGTCTATAGTCTAGTCTATAGTCATAGTCTGGTCTAAAGTCTGGTCTATAGTCTAGTCTATAGTCTAGTCTATAGTCTAGTCTATAGTCTAGTCTATAGTCTAGTCTATAGTCTAGTCTATAGTCTAGTCTATAGTCTAGTCTAGTCTAGTCTATAGTCTAGTCTATAGTCTAGTCTATAGTCTAGTCTATAGTCTAGTCTATAGTCTAGTCTATAGTCTAGTCTATAGTCTAGTCTATAGTCTAGTCTATAGTCTAGTCTATAGTCTAGTCTATAGTCTAGTCTATAGTCTAGTCTATAGTCTAGTCTATAGTCTAGTCTATAGTCTAGTCTATAGTCTAGTCTATAGTCTAGTCTATAGTCTAGTCTATAGTCTAGTCTATAGTCTAGTCTATAGTCTAGTCTTTAGTCTAGTCTAGTCTATAGTCTATAGTCTATAGTCTAGTAGTCTAGTCTAGTCTAGTCTAGTCTAGTCTAGTCTAGTCTAGTCTAGTCTAGTCTAGTCTAGTCTATAGTCATAGTCTAGTCTAGTCTAGTCTAGTCTAGTCTAGTCTAGTCTAGTCTAGTCTAGTCTAGTCTAGTATAGTCTAGTCTAGTCTAGTCTAGTCTAGTCTAGTCTAGTCTAGTATAGTCTAGTCTAGTCTAGTCTAGTCTAGTCTAGTCTAGTTTAGTCTAGTCTAGTCTAGTCTATAGTCTAGTCTACAGTCTAGTCTATAGTCTAGTCTATAGTCTAGTCTATAGTCTAGTCTATAGTCTAGTCTATAGTCTAGTCTATAGTCTAGTCTATAGTTTAGTCTATAGTCTAGTCTATAGTCTAGTCTATAGTCTAGTCTATAGGCTAGTCTATAGTCTAGTCTATAGTCTAGTCTATAGTCTAGTCTATAGTCTAGTCTATAGTCCAGTCTATAGTCTAGTCTATAGTCTAGTCTATAGTCTAGTCTATAGTCTAGTCTATAGTCTAGTTTATAGTCTAGTCTATAGTCTAGTTTATAGTCTATTCTGTAGTCTAGTCTATAGTCTAGTCTATAGTCTAGTCTATGGTCTAGTCTATAGTCTAGTCTATAGTCTAGTCTATAGTCTAGTCTATAGTCTAGTCTATAGTCTAGTCTATAGTCTAGTCTATAGTCTAGTCTATAGTCTAGTCTATAGTCTAGTCTATAGTCTAGTCTATAGTCTAGTCTATAGTCTAGTCTATAGTCTAGTCTATAGTCTAGTCTATAGTCTAGTCTATAGTCTAGTCTATAATATTTAGTCATAGTCATTTTATACACCGGAAATAGTCAATCTATGAGCCAGTTACATTCAGTCTTTAGTCGAGACAATAGTCCGTTTTTAGTTCAAACAATAGTTAGTCTATAAACCAGACTATAGTCGGATTATAGTCTAGACTATAGTAGGTCTATAGTCCGGATTATAGTCACTCTATATTTCAGACTTTTATTAAAATGTTTCTAATTTTCTTTCTACTTTTCAGCAAGGTGCCTCTTCTTGTTTTGCCATTTTTCTACCCACTTTAGTAATGGGCAATTTTATGGTTCTAAACTTGTTCTTGGCTTTGTTGCTCAATAGTTTCAATTCGGAGGAGTTAAAGTCCAAAAAAGAGGTAAAATGCATGCTTAGTTTTTCGTCAAATTTCATACATTTATATTTTAATGTCTGATTTACGTATTTTATTTTTGGTTTGAATCACAATTCAGTGTCATTTAAATGTGCGTTATAAAGATTGATTGTGATACTGAAAATGTTGAAAAAAAAATATATTTTTTTAAATAAGTGTGAGCTCAGTATATGTGTTATGTCTTATTTTTTTAAATAATCATAAAATAAATAAATTATTTTTTGTTTAAATAATAAAATGAAGCAAAAATGATAACAGCAGGATAATTAATTTTTCTTCTTTAAAAAAAGCAAGCTTTAATAGTTTTTCTTAAAAGAAAACAAAACTTTTTTAATAGAAGTTGTTGCTATTGATGTTAGAGTTGTTATAGAAGTTTAAAAGTTTATATTTGTTTAGAAATTTAAGTTATTTAACTGCTTTGCACTTTAAGTGTTGTTGTGATTTATTAGTTCATCAAAAATAAAAGGTTTTTTTATAGAAATAATTTCTATAGAATTTTATCAAATTTCAATGAATAACTTGATCTTTTTTGTGATCATGTAGTCGTCATGAGTTGAATTGTTTGTTCTCTTAAGATTCTGCGCCAAAAGTAATGTTAATTTCTTGACAATTTAAACTCTGAGGTGATATACTATTCATATTGAAATCTTAAAATTCAGACCTTTTATTTTGAGAATTTTATTATACAGTGAATGATTTCAATATAAAAATATCAGAAATTTATATGATGAATGAATGATCTACTTTTAATAGCTAAATAATCATGTTAAGTAAATGATTTAAACAATTTTGTTGCTATAATATAAATAACTATATTAATTCTTCAATTATTTGAGCAGAATTTTTATCTCAGAGTATTTATTATGTCATTCACTGTATACGATTTCAATCGTATTATTTGTAATACAAAAATATTATAATTACATTAATCATTATTTGTTAATTTCTTATTGAATTTAAGTTTAATATTTATTATAACAAAAAAAGATGTTTTGAGTTTGTTAAATTATCTTCGGGGATAATGTAATGAGTAACAAAATTCTGACTTAAGACAAGATAATACTAATAGAGTCCGAATAGAACATAGTCGAACTGAAGTCCAGAAAAAATCTAAACTTTAGACCTGACAAATCTACTATAAGGTTTATGGTTCCGACTATAAGATATATTGTAGTTCCGACTTTAGTTAAGGCTATAGCCCAAACTATAGACTAAGCTAGACTACAGTCCATATTACTGGTTAGACAGACGAAATGGTAAACAATATTGCAGACTAGAGACTAAACTATATTCCAGAATATACTACAGACAGGATTATAGAATGGACTAAAGACTAGACTATAGATTAGCCTATAAAGTAGACTATAGACTAGACTAAAAGTATACTATAGACTAGACTAAAAGCAGTCTATAAAGTAGACTATAGACTAGACTATAGACTAGACTATAGACTAGACTATAGACTAGACTATAGACTAGACTAGACTAGACTAGACTAGACTATAGACTAGACTATAGACTAGACTATAGACTAGACTATAGACTAGACTATAGACTAGACTATAGACTAGACTATAGACTAGACTATAGACTAGACTATAGACTAGACTATAGACTAGACTAGACTATAGACTAGACTATAGACTAGACTATAGACTAGACTATAGACTAGACTATAGACTAGACTATAGACTAGACTATAGACTAGACTATAGACTAGACTATAGACTAGACTATAGACTAGACTATAGACTAGACTATAGACTAGACTATAGACTAGACTATAGACTAGACTATAGACTAGACTATAGACTAGACTATAGACTAGACTATAGACTAGACTATAGACTAGACTATAGACTAGACTATAGACTAGACTATAGACTAGACTATAGACTAGACTATAGACTAGACTATAGACTAGACTATAGACTAGACTATAGACTAGACTATAGACTAGACTATAGACTAGACTATAGACTAGACTATAGACTAGACTATAGACTAGACTATAGACTAGACTATAGACTAGACTATAGACTAGACTATAGACTAGACTATAGACTAGACTATAGACTAGACTATAGACTAGACTAGACTAACTATAGACTAGACTATAGACTAGACTATAGACTAGACTATAGACTAGACTATAGACTAGACTATAGACTAGACTATAGACTATAGACTAGACTATAGACTAGACTATAGACTAGACTATAGACTAGACTATAGACTAGACTATAGACTAGACTATAGACTAGACTATAGACGACTATAGACTAGACTATAGACTAGACTATAGACTAGACTAAGATAGACAATAGACTAGACTATAGACTAGACTATAGACTAGACTATAGACTAGACTATAGACTAGACTATAGACTAGACTATAGACTAGACTATAGACTAGACTATAGACTAGACTATAGACTAGACTATAGACTAGACTATAGACTAGACATATACTAGACTATAGACTAGACTATAGACTAGACTATAGACTAGACTATAGACTAGACTATAGACTAGACTATAGACTAGACTATAGACTAGACTATAGACTAGACTATAGACTAGACTATAGACTAGACTATAGACTAGACTATAGACTAAACTATAGACTAGACTATCTAGACTATAGACTAGACTATAGACTAGACTATAGACTAGACTATAGACTAGACTATAGACTAGACTAAGCACTAAGGACTAGACTAGCCTCTACGACTAGATCTAGACTAGACTATAGACTAGGATCTCGATAGACTATCGACTAAGACTTATAGACTAGACTATAGACCTAGACTATAGACTAGACTTATAGACTAGACTATAGATAGACTATAGACTAGACTAAGGACTAGACTATAGACTAGACTATTAAGAACTAGACTATAGACTATGACTATAGACTAGACTATAGACTCGACTATAGACTAGACTATCGACTAGACTATAGACTAGGACTATAGACTAGACTAGACTAATAGACTCGACTTATAGACTAGACTATAGACAGACTAGACTAGACATAGGACTAGACTCTAGACTAGACTATAAGACTAGACTATAGACTAGACTATAGGACTAGACTAGACTAATAGAGACTAGACTATAGACTCAGACTATAGCCTAGGACTATAGACTAGACTATAGACTAGACTATAGACTAGACTATTAGACTAGACTATAGACTGACTATAGACTAGACTAGACTAGATAGACTAGACTATAGACTAGACTATGACTAGACTATATACTAGACTATAGACTAGACTATAGACTAGACTATAGACTAGACTATAGACTAGACTATAGACTAGACTATAGACTAGACTATAGACTAGACTATAGACTAGACTATAGTACTAGACTATAGACTAGACTATAGACTAGACTATAGACTAGACTATAGACTAGACTATAGACTAGACTATAGATGACCTAGACTGCCTATAGACTGACGATAGCTAGACTATGGACTAGACTATAGGACTAGACTATAGACTAGACTATAGACTAGACTATAGACTAGACTATGACTAGACTATAGACTAGACTATAGACTAGACTATAGACTAGACTATAGACTAGACTTAGGACTAGACTAATGACTAGACCTATAGACTAGACTATAGATAGACTATAGACTAGACTATAGACTAGACTATAGACTAGACTATAGACTAGACTATAGACTAGACTATAGACTAGACTATAGACTAGACTATAGCTAGACTATAGACTAGACTATAGACTAGACTATAGGACTAGACTATAGACTAGACTATAGACTAGACTATAGACTACTATAGACTAGACTATAGACTAGACTATAGACTAGACTATAGACTAGACTATAGACTAGACTATAGACTAGACTATAGACTAGACTATAGACTAGACTATAGACTAGACTATAGACTAGACTATAACTAGACTAGACTATAGACTAGACTATAGACTAGACTATAGACTAGACTATAGACTAGACTATAGACTAGACTATAGACTAGACTATAGACTAGACTATGACTAGACTATATAGACTAGACTAGAGATAGACTAGACTATAGACTAGACTATAGACTAGACTATAGACTAGACTATAGACTAGACTATAGACTAGACTATAGACTAGACTATAGACTAGACTATAGACTAGACTATAGACTAGACTATAGACTAGACTATAGACTAGACTATAGACTAGACTATAGACTAGACTATAGACTAGACTATAGACTAGACTATAGACTAGACTATAGACTAGACTATAGACTAGACTATAGACTAGACTATAGACTAGACTATAGACTAGACTATAGACTAGACTATAGACTAGACTATAGACTAGACTATAGACTAGACTATAGACTAGACTATAGACTAGACTATAGACTAGACTATAGACTAGACTATAGACTAGACTATAGACTAGACTTATAGACTAGAACTATAGACTAGACTATAGACTTAGGACATATGACTAGACTATAGACTAGCTATTAGACTAGACTATAGACTAGACTATAGACTAGACTATAGACTAGACTATAGACTAGACTATAGACTTAGACTATAGGAATAGACTATAGACTCGACTATAGACTAGACTATAGACTAGGACTATAGACTAGGACTATAGCCTCGGACTATGACTAGACTATAGACTAGACTATAGACTAGACTATAGACTAGGACTATAGACTAGACTATAGACTAGACTATAGATAGGACTATCGACTAGCCTATAGACTAGACTATAGACTAGACTATAGACTAGACTATCGACTAGACTATCGAACTAGACTATAGACTAGACTATAGACTCGACTATAGACTAGGACTATTAGACTAGACTATAGACTAGACTATAGGACTAGACTATAGACTAGACCTATTAGACTAGACTATAGACTAGACTATAGACTAGACTATAGACTAGGACTCTAGACTAGACTATAGACTAGATATAGAACTAGGCCTATAGACTCGACTATAGACTAGACTATAGACTAGACTATAGACTAGACTATAGACTAGACTATAGACAGACTATAGACTAGACTATAGACTAGACTATAGACTAGACTATAGACTAGACTATAGACTAGACTATAGACTAGACTATAGACTAGACTATAGACTAGACTATAGACTAGACTATAGACTAGACTAAAGACTAGAATATAGACTGGATTAAAGACTAGACTGTAGACTAACTGGATTAAAGTCAGTTCCAAATCTTAAGTTTGATATCCTTTTAAAACTCAAAACATTTTTAATAGTTTCTATTTTATTTATAAGATTTCTTTATTATTACAAATGTTTCTAAAAAATTTAATTAAATAAAACAACTATTTTATTGTCTTCCTTCTCGTATATCTGTGTGTGTGTGTGTGTAAAACTCTATATATATGTGTATTATTAATGCTAAACTTTAACTAAAAACTCAAACCTTAAAAAAACATTAAAATACTAAATATTACTTCTACTACTTACTACTACTATTACAAACTGTTTTTGTTTAAAAACTTTCTGCAAATGTATAAAAAAAATTTGCACTAAAACACTTAATTAAAAAAAATCTAAAATTAAATAAATGTGCACCCGTGTTAATAAACATAAAAACACTTAAAAAAATCTAAAACTTATACACCATAAAAATACTATAAAAATAAACTTGACAGATTTTCAAGAAAAAGGTAATTTTAGCTTTAAAAACCCCAATACTTACAAACTCCCAAGAAATGATTTTTAAGCTTTGTTTTTTTTTTTTTTTAATATATTATTTTGTTTGCAAAATGTTTGGCATTTAAGTATTTAAAGAAAAATTTCTGAAAAAAACAAAATTGTAGTTAAGATGTTTATTATTTTGTTCATAAAATATGAATTTGCATGTTAAAATTCTGTAGAAATTTATAAACGAGTAGTTATTAATTAGTTAAAAAAAATTAGAAGAAATTTTGAAAAAAAATATTGGTTGAATAAAAGCTTAAGCATTGGTTGTGTTCTAAATATATTTCAGTTAATTTAGTATTATAAGATTGGCTAATTGTATCGAATATATATATTTTTGATTTTGAATATAATTAAAATAGTATTTGATATTTACAAAATAATTAAACTAATTGCATAAATCTCCTAAACAACTTCAGGAAGTAGGCGAAGAATCGAAATTAGCTCGCAGCATAGAAAGAGTTAGAGACTTGATACGTAAGAAACGTCAAGAGCGTAAGGAACGTAAAGAGCGTAAATATGCTACGAAATTTCAGCAGATTGTCATTGAAGCCCAACAAGCAGCGGCAGCCGCAACAATCGATAAACCGGGTCTAATATCGGAAACAAAATTTCACAGACTGAGCTATCAGGTGAGTGGTTAATTTCTTTATATAGAGAAAGAGTTTCCAAATTTAAATTACTTGCAGGAATCTATGAATCGCCCAGTTTCTGGTTCCGATTTTGGCTATCAAATACCTTTAAAAGGAAGCCTACACACTATTGCGGATGGTGTCGAAACGGAAGATGATAAAAAATCATATTCTTCACAACAATTAACACATTCAATGCTGAGCGGTGGTGGTTCGCTGCAGCAGCATCATCACCATCATCAGCAACACCAACAGCCAGCATTACAGTTGCTGTATCAACAGCAGCAACCTGCAATGCCATCGTTTGATGGCACTGTTGCCAGCTCCTGCCAATTAGACAATAATAGCTTAAATCCTCAAGTAGATCGTCGTTTACAACATCAAATGTCTTCCGGATTTGGTACGCAGCCAAATGATTCACGTGATGAACCCACAACGTATACCGAATCGATAGAACTGCAGCTGATGGGTCAATACAATTCGACTGATACGGACCCGTACGCCAATGATCAGCGTAGTGGTTCTTATATGCGTGCCGATTCATTGCAAGAACGCAGCGGTTCCTATATGCGTGCCGATTCGTTGCAAGAACGTAGCGGTTCCTATATGCGTGCTGATTCCTTGCTGGAACGCAGTTCAACGCGTCATTGCAGCGAGGAACATGATGAATCTTATCTACAGTATCAAAAATCGTTGCTAACCCGATCGCCCAGCTATCGCAAGTCCCTGGATCGTCTGTCACAGTCGAGCGATCAATCGCAGAGATCATTAATTCCTTCCCGCAGTCTAAAGTCCGATGAGGATGGTCATTCGCGTCATTCATTGAACACGATTTCCATGGAGCACGAGGAACTGCTGTCGAATCAGGCCAACCTCCGTGAAGAACTGTTGAATTGTGATCAAAAGGAATTATTTCAATTTCTGCAGGACGATATACTCGATAATAGCAACAATTATTTTAGCGATACTGTGGGTTATGGTTCTGCTATAATGGAAGCCGATACGGATTCGTTAATCGTTGTGGATGGCCGACGGGAAGAACGTAAACCCTCAACCAGCAGTATTAAATCGAATTTAAGTTACATCTCCAATTCCATACTCCAAACCATAGAATCGCGTCGTAATGGCAGTCATTCCTCGAATGGTAATGGTCATGACAGTGATAATTTACCTTTAGTGGAACACTCCGAGTTCGACAATATTATACAGAGTTTTGAAAAGGAATTGGAGGAGATAAAAAAGTCCACGACTTCTTTAGAGCGTAGACTATCTACACTCTCTGAACCCTCGCCCGCAGCTGATGAAGCTAATAAGGCCATATTGGAACATATAGCGGTGATAACAGGGGCCTCAGAAAGAACGGCAGCCGATGAAGTTGTGGCGCCCTTAAATCCCTACGACAGCTATGATCTTTCTGCCGTACCCCGGCGCCAGCACTCTTTGCCGGCCACCTCCACACGGGCTTCGGCCAAAATCAAACGACGTAGTCTGGAAAAACAACGAAAAATCGATGATGATTTTAGCATAACCAATGAAATACGCAAAATCTGTGATCAAATGCAGGCACCTTTTGCCACAGTCGAAGCCATGTCCGTGGCTGCTACACAGGCCTCGGGCGCTCATTCACCTTTCATGCGACGAAAAAGTGATTTATTTAGTGCTCAATTCGATCGTTTCAAGCGCATGTCTCTCATCGAACGCGTCGAGGAAGTGCCAGAGGAGGAAAAAACCCATTTCTACGCTGCGCATGGAATCAGAACGTTTACCGCGCAAATGTCTAACGGCCGAACCCATGAAGATCGATAGTCTCTCGTTGAAAAGTACAAATTCCTATGAAAATCTACTGCTGCACAAACAACTGACTAAAGCTCAACAGAAACAGCATAAGACGCAACAGAAACAGCCCTCGTTACAACGCGATAGCTCACAATCTTCCTCGGCCGCTGTACCACCCACACCACCAACCTCGCTTAAGTCGTCGATAGAGCCCCATACGCTGGCGCAATTGTCATCGCTAAAGGCGACACCGCCCCTAACGGCGCTTACCGAACATCAGCAACACTATCATGCCACAACGGCTCAAACACGTACCACACCTCTCCTCCCAAGGGCTGGTCCGGGTAGCGTTGAAGCACAGCATACGAAATTGCATGTCAAACGCTCAAAGCATCCACAATCGTCGCTAGATAAAGCTGCTTCCTTTCAGTCGGGACGCACCGAATCGCATAGTTCGGGTGCGGCCGATACATCATCGGTTATGGCACTGACTGCCCCCGGCGAGGCTCTGCTGTTGGCGGCAGGCGGTGATTCGATAACGCAGAGAGACGGCGAAGGTCTCCAGTCGCAGAAATCAACGTTCTCACGACTGACTGAAAAACCATGGCATTGTCTGGTCTCCTACGTAGACGATCTCACAGTGGGTGGGAGACGTAACTCGCAGGGAGCATACAATGATCCCATGACTTTTCCAAGTTTTGGACAAACGAAACCACCAAAAGTGCCAGATGATTGTTTCCCCCAAAAGTGTTACGAACAGTGAGTATATCATCCATCCCCTTATCCATTTGATTACGTTTATTTCTCAAATCTCATTTTTTAGCTTTTACTTTCGCTGTCCATGGTTTATGTCCTGTATGGATACCAAAAGTGCTAAACATTGGACACGCGTCAGAACGGCCGTCTTGACTGTTGTGGATACTCCAGCCTTTGAGTGGTTTGTTTTAGTGTTGATCTTCGCTTCCAGCATAACATTATGTTTCGAGGACATCTATTTGGATAGTAATAAATCGCTGAAGCGCATTTTATACTGGACAAATTTTTCCTTCTGTTTGATATTTGTCATTGAGATGGTATTGAAATGGTTGGCCTTGGGGTTTTCCAAATACTTTACTAGTTTTTGGACCATTTTGGATTTTATCATAGTTTTTGTGAGTATTATTTATTAATAATTAATTAGTTAATTAAGGAAATTCATTTTCATTTATTCCACATAAAGGTTTCCGTATTTTCTTTATTAATCGAGGAAAATGAAAATTTAAAAGTTTTGCGCTCTTTAAGAACCCTAAGAGCTTTAAGACCCTTAAGGGCCATATCTAGGTAAGTTTGGTTATTATTTGATTATATAAGGTTTTTAATGCTGATATCGAGATTTTATTTTCAATTTATAATTTTGTTTTATGTATATTTTTTCAATTGATATTTATGTATATGTATGTATGTATATCTATCTATATAAAACTATATATATATTTTTATGATCCATAATCTATGTATGATGTATTCTGAATGCTGTTTTCTTAAATGTTTTATTAATGAATTTTCCTTTTTTTGCCAAAAATTCAATTCTATTCTGTGTACTTTCAGATTATAACTTCTGTAAATTTTTATACAGATTCATGTTTGTTTTATAATCTATACCAATAAAAAATGATCAGAATTTTTATAACGATTTCATAAAAGGGTCTGATCTGATCATAATACTTTATTCTAAATTTCGTAAATCTGTAATACTTTTTTTATAATTGCATAAAATATTGAGTTTTGGATAAAAAAATCTACTTTTGATAAAAAAAATCGAGGAGTTAATGCAAAAAATTATCAGCTCTTAGGATAAGCATCGATCTTTTGATCTAGTCTAAGTCTAGTCTATAGTCTATTCTATAGTCTATTCTATAGTCTATTCTATAGTCTATTCTATAGTCTAGTCTATAGTCTAGTCTATAGTCTATTCTATAGTCTAGTCTATAGTCTAGTCTATAGTCTAGTCTATAGTCTAGTCTATAGTCTAGTCTATAGTCTAGTCTATAGTCTAGTCTATAGTCTAGTCTATAGTCTAGTCTATAGTCTAGTCTATAGTCTAGTCTAGTCTAGTCTATAGTCTAGTCTATAGTCTAGTCTATAGTCTAGTCTATAGTCTAGTCTATAGTCTAGTCTATAGTCTAGTCTATAGTCTAGTCTATAGTCTAGTCTATAGTCTAGTCTATAGTCTAGTCTATAGTCTAGTCTATAGTCTAGTCTATAGTCTAGTCTATAGTCTAGTCTATAGTCTAGTCTATAGTCTAGTCTATAGTCTAGTCTATAGTCTAGTCTATAGTCTAGTCTATAGTCTAGTCTATAGTCTAGTCTATAGTCTAGTCTATAGTCTAGTCTATAGTCTAGTCTATAGTCTAGTCTATAGTCTAGTCTATAGTCTAGTCTATAGTCTAGTCTATATTCTAGTCTATAGTCTAGTCTATAGTCTAGTCTATAGTCTAGTCTATAGTCTAGTCTATAGTCTAGTCTATAGTCTAGTCTATAGTCTAGTCTATAGTCTAGTCTATAGTCTAGTCTATAGTCTAGTCTATAGTCTAGTCTATAGTCTAGTCTATAGTCTAGTCTATAGTCTAGTCTATAGTCTAGTCTATAGTCTAGTCTATAGTCTAGTCTATAGTCTAGTCTATAGTCTAGTCTAGTCTATAGTCTAGTCTATAGTCTAGTCTATAGTCTAGTCTATAGTCTAGTCTATAGTCTAGTCTATAGTCTAGTCTATAGTCTAGTCTAGTCTAGTCTAGTCTAGTCTATAGTCTAGTCTATAGTCCAGTCTAGTCTATAGTCCAGTCTAGTCTATAGTCCAGTCTAGTCTATAGTCCAGTCTAGTCTATAGTCCAGTCTAGTCTATAGTCCAGTCTAGTCTATAGTCCAGTCTAGTCTATAGTCCAGTCTAGTCTATAGTCCAGTCTAGTCTATAGTCCAGTCTAGTCTATAGTCTAGTCTATAGTCTAGTCTATAGTCTAGTCTATAGTCTAGTCTATAGTCTAGTCTATAGTCTAGTCTTTAGTCTAGTCTATAGTCTAGTCTATAGTCTAGTCTATAGTCTAGTCTATAGTCTAGTCTAGTCTACAGGCTACAGTCTAGTCTAGTATATAATATAGTCTATAGTCTAGTCTTTAGTCTAGTCTATAGTCTAGTCTATAGTCTATAGTCTATAGTCTATAGTCTATAGTCTAGTCTATAGTCTATATTCTAGTCTATAGTCTACTCTATAGTCTAGTCTATAGTCTAGTCTATAGTTTAGTCTATAGTCTAGTCTATAGTCTAGTCTATAGTCTAGTGTATAGTCTAGTCTATAGTGTAGTCTATAGTCTAGTCTCTAGTCTAGTTTATAGTCTAGTCTAGACCATATTATACCGTTTAATCTATTGTTTTGTTTATGAAAAGTAATTTTAAAAGATTAATAAAATTTTTTTGATAATTCGAATACTTAATAAAACCTGGGTTTATGGTAAAAATTTTTAATTATTAGTATAGATTATAATGTCGTTAATAAGCTACTTTTACGACTTGAAATTCTTTTCTTCATATAAATATTTTATTTAAATAATTTTCTTTATATATTTATTTTTTGATCCTTAACATAAATATATTATTTTCTATATGAATTTAATTGAATGCTTAAGCACCTTTTATTTAAAATACTTAAACAGTTTAAATGAAAAAAACTACTAAATAAAACAAATATTTTTTTGGAAGTATTTAATACAATATCGTTTTCTTTAAGGATTTCGAATAGAAATAACTACAAAAGAAAAATAAAAATAAAAACAAACAACAAAACTAAATCATAAAGAAACAAAAAAATCCTTAAATATCCTTAATAAGTGTGTCTGTGTGTGTTATTTATTAAAATTAAAAAAATTAAAATAATTACATATTAAATTCAAACTTCCAAATAAGCTTAAAAATAATTCGAGCACCTTTTTTTTAATTTACTTTTAAAATTTTAAAAAGAGACAAGAGTTTGAATTTAAAATTATTTATTGTATTTAATTCAAAACTTGTTATTTAATTTTGTTTAAATTATATAATTTAATTCTATTTTTTATAATTATCTGGTAAAATGTTGGTAATTGGCATGTTTTATTAAAAAAAAACTTAAAAAAAGTTTAAGTTTATTTAAAATAAAGATCAAATAGAGATGAAGGATTTCGATAAAAATGAATAAAATTGTGGGAGGATCCGTTTGAATTTTCTATTTTGTGGAATTGTAATACCGTTTTGGTCTATGGGGACCAAATATAAAATTTAAACTTTACAATACTTCGCTTCTAAATGGTTCATAGACAAGTCCATAGAGTACTTCATAGACTATAGTCCATAGACTAGTTCATAGACTAGTTCATAGACTAGTTAATAGACTAGTCTATAGACCAGTCCATAGACCAGTTCATAGACTAGTCCACAGATTAGTCTATACACTAGTTTATAGACTATTTCATAGACTAGTCTATAGACTAATTTATAGAGTAGTTCATAGACTACTCCATAAGCTAGTTCACAGACCAGTCCATAGACTAGTTTATAGACTAGTTTATAGACTAGTTCATAGGCTAGTCAATAGAATAGTTCATAACCTAGTTTATAGACTAGTTCATAGACTAGTTAATAGACTAGTCCATAGACTAGTTCATAGATTAATTAATAGACTAGATCATAGACTAGTTCATAGACTAGTCCATATACTAGCCTATACACTAGTCTATAGACTAGTGCATAGACTAATTTATAAACTAGTCTATAGAATAGTTCATAGACTAGTTCATAGAATAGTTCATAGACTAGTCCATAGACTAGTCCATAGAATAGTTCATAAACTAGTTTATAGACTAGTCCATAGACCAGTTCATAGACTAGTCCATAGATTGGTCTATACACTAGTTTATAGACTATTTCATAGACTAGTCCACAGACTAATTTATAGACTAGTCCAAAGAATAGTTCGTAGACTAGTCCATAGACTAGCCTATGCATTAGTTTATAGACTAATTCGTTGACTAGTCCATAGACTAATTTATAGACTAGTCTATAGACTAGTTAATAGAATAGTTCATAGACTAGTTAATATAATAGTTCATAGACTAGCCCATAGACTAGTCTATAGAATAGTTAATAAACTAGTTTATAGACTAGTCCATAGACTAGTTAAATGACTAGTTCATAGACTAGTCCATAGACTAGTTCATAGACTACTTCATAGGCTAGTTCACAGACTAGTCTATAGACAAGTTCATAGACTAGTCCGTAGACTAGTTCATAGACTAGTTCATAGACTAATCCATAGAATAGTTCATAGACTAGTCTATAGAATAGTTAATAAACTAGTTCATAGACTAGTCCATAGAATAGTTCAGAGACTACTTCATATGCTAGTTCACAGACTAGTCCATAGACTAGTTCATAGACTAGGCCATACATTAGTTCATAGACTATTCCATAGGCTAGTTAATAGACTAGTTTATAGACCAGTTAATACAATAGTCTATAGATTTTTCATCCACAAGTTTGGAGACGACTCAATAGACTACTTCATAGACTAGCCCATACTCTAGTTTATAGACTAGTCCAAAGATTAGTTCATAGACTAGACCATAGGCTAGTCCAAAGTTCAATAAACTGGCCCATAGACTAGTCCATAAACCACTCCAAAGAGAAGTTCATAGACTAATCCATAGACTAGTTCCTAGACTAGTTCATAGACTAGCCCATAGATTAGTTCATAGACTAGTCTATACATTAGTCCATGGACTAGTCCAAAGACCAGTCCATAGACTAGACCATAGATTAGTTCATAGGCTAATCCACAGCAGAGACTAGAATTGGTTTAAAAGAAATTAACAATGGAAATCATGGGTCTATATCACTTAAATTAATTGGGTACTATTAATATCACCTTCATCTTGGTTTGATCTTTTAACCTCAATTTATTTCGGACAAAGCTTAATTATTCAGATTAAATCGTTTGAGCAATCACAGTATGGCTTTAAGCTTTCAATTTACCAAAAGCTTTTGTATAAATTTAATTTGCTCTCAAAAGTATATTTAACACAAATCCAAACGATTTAATACGAATATGATTTGTGTATGAGATCCCCCCCCCAAAAAAAAAAAAAAAACAACTATTTTTATATGTGTAAAATTTGTATGTTTTATTTTTCTAAACACTACTACTATCCCAAAACCCCGAAATTTATTTTTAAAACCTTTCTCTATGTGTCTATGTTTTAACTTAATCCCATAATCTAAAATCATCCAATTTTTCCCCTCTTCTTAAAACCATTACACAAATTCGATACTTTAAACTAAATAAAAACTAACTCGAAAGTTTTTTTTGTAAACAATTTGATGTTAAAATAGCAACAAACATTTTATTTCTATTCCAGGTGGCAAGGAATGCGAATTGTAGTAAATGCTCTCATGTATGCCATACCATCAATTTTCAATGTACTTTTAGTTTGTTTGGTTTTTTGGTTAATATTTTCTATAATGGGTGTACAATTTTTTGGTGGTAAATTTTTCAAATGTCTCGATAACGATGGAGAACTATTGCCCGTAACGGTTAGTTGGCTTTCTACTTATTAACAAATGCTTTTCAAATTAAAATTAAACTCTTTAAGTTTGAAAAATTTATAATCCAAAAAATTATTTATAATAACTTAACAATAAATCTATCTTTTACCCTCCACTCCCACAAACAACATTCGTAATATATATATATATATATAGGAAGTGAATGACAAATGGGATTGCATAGAACAAAATTTTAGTTGGATCAATTCAAAAATAACCTTTGATCATGTAGGTATGGGCTATTTGGCTCTCTTACAAGTGGCCACCTTCGAGGGCTGGATGGAGGTTATGGCCGATGCGGTCGATGCTCGTGGTGTGGATTTGCAGCCTCAACGTGAAGCGAATCTTTATGCTTATATATATTTTGTTATCTTCATTGTATGTGGATCGTTCTTTACTCTTAATCTATTCATAGGAGTAATTATCGATAATTTCAATATGCTCAAGAAAAAGGTAAGTTTTATCGGATCAATTCGTTAGTCGGTATGTTGGTCTGTAAAAATATTTATATCAGACTATCACTACTGCTTTGAGAATAATGGCGAGTAAGAAAGAGAGATGTTTTATATAATAAGGTTTGAGTTGGTAATATAATTTTATTTAAGTTTTAATTTTACTTTTAATATTTTTTATTTAAATTATAATATGTATAAAGTTTGTTATAAAACAATATTAAATAAATATTTACACTGTTTTTTTTCCAAGGGGTATGATTGAAAAATAAGCTCTGTAATATTTAAAGGGGATTTATTTCAAATTGTAGTAATTAGAAACTTTATTACTATTTTACATTTATCAGTATTTTGACACTGAGCAACCATCTCCAGGATATATAGATTTATCCAGAGACTCGCGACTCTATAGACAAGTTCATAGACTATTCCAAAGACAAGATTAGGTCGCAGGCGAGTCCACAGACTAGTTCATAGGAGAGTTCACACAATAGTTTGAACAGTAGTCAATAGACTAGTTTATAGTCTTGAGAATAGTTCATAGACTAGTCCTTAGGCTAGTTTATAGACTAGTTCATGGAGTTCCATAGACTAGTTCATTGAATAGTTCATAGACTAGTACATAGACTCTATATACTAGTTTAGTTCAAAGACAAATTCATAGATGAGTTCATGGACTGTTCCACATACTAGTGCATAGACTAGATCATAGACTAGTCCATAAACTAGTTCAAAAACTAGTTCATAGACTCGTCCATATACTTTTTCATAGACTAGTCCATAGACTTGTTCACAGACTTGTTAATAGACTAGTCCAAAGACTAATTCATAGTCTAGTCCATAGACTAATTCACAGACTAGTTCAAAGTCCATAGGCTAGTTTATAGACTAGTCCATATACTAGTTTATAGACTAGTCCATAGACTAGTTCATAAACTATTCCATAGACTTGTTCATAGGCTAGTTCATAGACTTGGTCATAGACTAGTCCTTAGACTAGTTCAGTGACTAGTTTACAGACTACTTCATAGACTTGGTCATAGACTAGTCTTTAGACTAGTCCATAGACTAGTCTATATACTAGTTTATAGACTGGTTCATAGTCTAGTCCATAGATTAATTCATAGTCCATGGACTAGTCTATAGAATAATTCATAGACTAGTTCATAGAATAGTCCATAGACTAGTTCATAGACTAGTACATAGACTAGTGCATAGACTAGTTCATAGACTAGTTCATAGACTAGTTAATAGACTAGTTCATAGACTAGTTCATAGAATAGTCCATAGACCAGTACATAGACTAGTTCATAGACCAGTTCATAGACTAGTTCATAGACTAGTTCATGGACTAGTTCATAGACAAGTTAATGGACTAGTTCATAGACTAGTTTATGAACTAGTTCATTGACTAGTTTATAGACTAGTCCATAGACAAGTTAATAGACTAGTTCATAGACTAGTCCATAGAATAGTTTAGGTAGTTTCATAGACTGGTTTATAGACTAGTCAATAGACTAGTTCATAGACTAGTCCATACTCTAGTTCATAGACTAGTTCAGAGACTAGTTCATAGACTAGTTGATAGACTAGTTCATAGACTAGTTCATAGACTAGATCATAGACTAGTTCATAGACTAGTTGATATACTAGTTCATAGTCTAGTTCATAGACTAGATCATAGACTAGTTCATAGACTAGTTCATAGACTAGTTTATAGACTAGTTGATAGACTAGTTCATAGGCTAGTTTATAGACTAATTCATAGACTAATTCATAGACTAGTTCATAGACTAGACTAATTCATATACTCGTTCATTGACAGGTTCATAGACTGGTTCATAGACTAGTCCATAGACTGGTTCATAGACTAGTCCATAGACTAGCTCATAGACTAGTTCATAGACTAGTTCATAGACTAGTTCATAGACTGGTTCATTGACTTGTTCATAGACTTGTTCGTTTACTTGCTCATTGACTAGTTCATAGACTAATCCATAGACTAGTCCATAGACTAGTTCATAGACTAGTTCATAGACTAGTCAATATACTAGTTCATAGACTAGTCCATACTCTAGTTCATAGACTAGTTCATAGACTAGTTGATAGACTAGTTCATAGACTAGTTCATAGACTAGATCATAGACTAGTTCATAGACTAGTTCATATACCAGTTTATAGACTAGTTGATAGACTAGTTCATAGGCTAGTTTATAGACTAATTCATAGACTAATTCATAGATTAGTTCATAGACTAGTTCATAGACTAGTTCATAGACTAGTTCATAGACTTTTTCATAGTCTAGTTCATATTCTAGTTCATAGACTAGTTCATAGACTAGTTCATTGACTGGTTCATTGACTAGTTCATTGACTGGTTCAAAGACTAATCCAAAGACTAGTTCATGGACTAGTTTATAGACTGGTTCATAGACTAGTCATTAGACAAGTTCATAGAGTAGTTTATAGACTAGTTCATAGGCTAGTCTATTGACTAGTCCATGGACTACTTCATAGACTACTTCATAGACTATTTCATAGACGAGTCCATAGACTAGTACATAGACTAGTTCGAGACAATAGTTTATAGACTAGTCCAAGTATAACTGATCGTAATTTTCGAAATCAATAAAAGTTTTTAATACTGATCGTCCAGAAAGAAAATCTTTAAAAAAGTAAACTTTGTTGATCAATACCCAATGTTGTTGACCCAGTGAACTTTCCGATCATTATATTTATAAAAAAATAAAGCTTATTTTTCAATTATGCCCAATTTCGGATATATAATATATAAAACATTAACTCCCCCGATAAACACATTCGATACAAAGCAAAATTTTGTTATTTATTAGAAATTTGTTAAAATAATCACTGCATTAAAATGTTAAAGAGAAATTATTTATAACTAAAAAAATCACATGGTTGTTAATGTTGAATTTGCAATAAAAAAAAAAACAAACACGTTTTATAAACCTTTTTTAAAAATTTCAGTTAATTTTTTAAATATTTTTTATATAATTTCAAACAATTTCTTTATTTCGTTTATAAAAAATATTTTTATGTTTTATTTAAATACTTGTAAAATAAAAACATTTCTTTAAAAAAAAATAATCACAAATTATTTAAAATATTTATGTGTGTGTCTGTGTGTGTTCTAATATTACCTATATATAACAAAAACCAAAAAACGAAAAAAATAGTATGAAGGAGGAGTGTTGGAAATGTTTCTCACCGAATCTCAAAAACATTATTACACCGCCATGAAAAAGTTGGGACGAAAAAAACCACAGAAAGTCATTAAGCGACCAATAAATCATTTTTTAGCGATGTTTTACGATTTATCAAATTCCCGAAGGTAATAAAAACCAAAATATTACAAAAAACAATTTTTTTTCTTAAGCTACAAGAAAAAAATTCATATTGCTAAAATTATGATTTGAACTTTAAAATAGCGAAAATAAAAGATCACTCACTCACCAAGCATTTCTTTTCTAACACATGCGCCACGCCTACATAGTCACGCCCACACTCACAATACACATTCTACAACACTGCATTTCCTTTTTTAAGTTACAGAGAAAACAAAACTCTCTTTTTTGAGAGAACAATATCTCAGCTACTACTTGGTATTTGTAAATAGTTTTTTGATTTTGAGTTTTGATTTTAACTAGAAAATACTCTTCTAAAACAAGACATGTTTGAAAATTTTTGTTGTGAATTTTATGATTTTTGTTTTTTACATCTTTTTGGAAAAACTGTCGTCTATTGTTTTTTGCATCAAAACCCAATAATATTACAAAACCGCTAATAAACTTTCAAAGTGGTTTTCTTCTAGGTTTGTTTGTATTAAATTTGATTTAAATAGAATTTTTAAATTATTATTTTGCTATTGAGTTAAAAAATTAAAAAAAAAAAAAATAGTAAAGAAAAGTTTGATTTGGTGATAAAATTATTTGAACACTTGACTTCTTAGTGCAAGAAAGAGAGAGAGCGAGAGTAAGAGTGAACGAGATCCTTGTATCGTCTTGTCTTTGCATTATTGTACACTTAGCGGGTGTTTTCAACTTTATAGCTTCTCCATTTAGCTGTCAAACTATAAAGTCTAAAGCATCAAATGTTTAACTGATCTTACTTTCTCAAGACTTTATATAACTTTTTGTTCCACTTTCTACTCTATGTAGCCTTAATTAAGTGACACTTTTATAACTATTTACTTCCCTTTTAAAAAAACTGTAATTTTCACTTTTTCTATGTAGTGGAGAAATAAATAATGTAAATGTTTTTAGTAGTAGCAAACTAGTAGTTACTTAACTAGTCTATACTTCCCTACAAAAAGCACAGTGGGACATTTGGTGTAAAAAAAAACAAATTTTACAAAATTGTATTCACGGAAAGGAGACAAAGTAGATTTTTATTAGGGATCAGGATATTTTCGAGATCGCTATCTCTTAAAGATCTTGAGATCAACAAATGGATTTTGAAACTGAAAGTCTTGCCTGCTAATCTGTGATTATTTTGCCTACTGTGATCCAATTAACGATAATGTGCGATCACTTTAAACTAAATGCAACTATTAGTATATGAAAAATCTTAAGTAAACAGAAGATTCTTTTTGATAAAAGCATCTGCTATCAGCTTAATTTTCTCATCGAGACCCGAGATTTGAGAGATACAATCTCACACTTCTCACGTCCAAATCTCCAAAGAGATACGATCGTCAAGCAGCTGCGATCAATTTTGCTTATTTATTCTCTCATCAAATTCCTACTGTATTAATGACACTTCAAATCATCTGAGGTTTCTAAAATAGTATGAGAAAAGCATGATCGTCAATCATATACGATAAATTTTACTTATTTGAATCATGGAACAGAGAGAAAAACATATGATCACTTCTATTCTTCCAGCAAATTTCGATTGCATTAATAAATGTCCAAATCTGCTGAAGTTCCTCAAACTGTGATCTAAGTGAGATAACGATCGTTATCTCTGATCGCAGAAAAGAATAATCGTTAAGAAACTGCGATCAACTTTTGCATCAAAAAGTAAGATGTATTTATTTAAGAGAGGAGAACATATGATCACTTCTAATATTGCATCAAAATTCGATTGTATTAATCAAACCTTAAATCAACTAAAACTCTTCAAATATTGGTCTAATTGAGAAGAGGATCTTTATCTAACATCAAAGACTTTATGAGAAAAGTATGATCGTCAGGCATGTGCCATCAATTTTAAAATCATGATCGTTATGCAACTGCGATCAATTCTACTTTTCCATAGTATTTGTTTAAACTTTAGACTAGAGGGAAAATCACTTTGTTTAAACAGTATAACAAAGAGAAGAACAGATGATCACTTCTATTTTCTCATCAAAATTAGATTTTAACCTTAAATCAAATGAAGATCAAATTGAAAAGATGATCTTTCTTTATTTATATTTTCTCATAGAATCTGATCAGATGAGGTGCCTATAATTAAGAACACGATCTTAGTCTGTGCTCGAAAACTTCATGAGAATCCGAGGCTTCATGAGAAAAGCATCAAACGTATTTGGGTAAATAGTAGACCAAAGAGAATAAACATCACTTCTGTTTTCTCGTAGAATCTAATCAGATGAAGTTTCTATAATTAAGAAGACGATCTTAGTCTGTGAAGACTTGAAGACTTCATGAGAATTGGAGACTTCATGAGAAAAGCATCGAACGTATTTGGTTAAAAAGTAGACCAAAGAGAATAGCATCACTTCTATTTTCGGATAGAATTTTATCAGATGAGGTTTCTATAATGAAGAAGATGATCTTAGTCTGTGATTGAAGATTTCATGAGAATTGGAGACTTCATGAGAAAAGCATCAAAAAGCATAGTAAACCAAAGAGAATAATATCAATTTAAAAATGTTCTCATTGAACCTGATCAGATAAGGTTTCTATAATTAAGAAGCCAATCTTAGTCTGTGATCGAAGTCTTCATGAGAATGGAAGACTTTATGAGAAAAGCATCGAATGTTAAATAGTAGACCAAAGAGAATAACATAATTTCTATGTTCTCATATAATCTGATCAGATGAGATGAGGTTTCTATAATTAAAAAGACGATCTTAATCTGCGATCATTACTATTTTTCTTCAAACATTAGGGTTCAAATTACAAGATTGGTCGTAATTTTTTTTTGATATCGATCGAGAAATCTATTAAATATATTCTTAATATTAAAGATCATTTGATCTCATATCCGCGATCAGGCCTATTTCTATTTTTAACATTAAAAAAAAAAAACTTTTTTGATCATGATATGTTTTCAATCTGTAGGTTTGACGTCGACAAAATATTGGCTTTAGTTGAAACCAAGTTGACCCATTGTGCTTTTTAACACTCACTGAACTATTGCATGTTAATGAAAACACCTCTGTAAATAATTCTAGAAAATGTTCCCAGAGTCCCCTCAAGAAAAATCTTTTTGCACTTAAATACTCGTACAATTTACACGAAACAATCATTAAACATTAAATAAATTATCATGTTCTATATTCGATTATTCCGGTTAACCGATATAGACTAGTCCATACTTATGAATTTTTAAATACATCACATAATAGACAAGTAAGTTAATAGATAAGTCAATAGTTTAGTCGATATATTAGTCTATAGATTGGTCCATAGACTAGTCTATAGCCCAGTCCTCAGACTAAGAAATATACTATTTGATAGACTAGTACACATGACTACTAGTCATTATACCTATTTAATGACTAGACAATACAACAGTTTATTGACTGGTCTAAAGATTAGTCTGTAGATCAGTCTATAGACTAGTCTGTAGATCAGTCTTTAGACTAGTCTGTTGATCAGTCTATAGACTAGTCTGTAGATCAGTCTATAGACTAGTCTTTAAATCAGTCTATAGACTAATTTATAGACCAGTCCTTAGACTAGTCCATAGTTAGTCCTGAGATCAGTCTATAGACTAGTCTGTAGATCAGTCTATAGACTAGTCTGTAGATCAGTCTATAGACTAGTCTGTAGATCAGTCTATAGACTAGTCTGTAGATCAGTCTTTAGACTAGTCTGTTGATCAGTCTATAGACTAGTCTGTAGATCAGTCTATAGACTAGTCTTTAAATCAGTCTATAGACTAATTTATAGACCAGTCCTTAGACTAGTCCATAGTTAGTCCATAGCACACAGTTCAAAGGTCAAGTCAATAGATCACACTAATTTAAACAAAATTTTTAAATTCTTACATAAAACTTTATTATTTTTTACTTATTAAAGAATAACCTACATAATACATTACAATTACACTAAACCACTGCTTCAGCTTAAACGAATCACACAACATTTAAATATTTTTGTAAGATCCATAAAAAACCTCAAAACTAGATCACTAACAAGTACGAGTATCTTCAAATATGACTTTTGCTAATTTTAACTAAACTTACTTTTAGCACTAAATGCTGAATGCTTAAACTGCACCATTTTTTTTCCATAGATTTTTTAAGATTAATATTATTATTATATTCTTAACTAAAATTGAATAATTTTTTAACAATTATAAATGTTTCCCCTCCCTTTAATTTTCCTCCACAAATATGAAAAAAAAAAAAAAAAATAATTAACACTACAACATGTCTACCGCAATTAACAACAACAATAATAATAAATCTATGTATTATATATATATACATATAGATTTGAAATAGCCATATTTGTACTGATTTTTTTAAATATGTTAACAATGGGTATTGAGCACTACAATCAACCGCATGCGGTATTTTTCATACTCGAAGTTAGTAATGCATTTTTTACCACCGTCTTTGGTTTGGGTAAGTAGTACTTATTGAATTCGAAGGCATGATCATTTTATTCTGTCTTCTTAACTCCCTTTCAAACCGACTGTCAGTCATTGACAATTCTGTCGACTGGTCTATAGAATGGTCCATATATTAGCCTATAGATTAGTCCTAGCCTATGGTCAATAGATTAGTAATAAACTGAGTAGTCTATAGATTAGTCCATAGAAATATCTATACATGGGTCAATAGATTAGTCTATAGATTAGCCCATAGATTAGTCTATAGATAAGTTCATAAAATAGTCATAGATTTGTCCATAGAAAAGTCTATAGATTAGTCCATAGATTAGTTTTTAGATTAGTCCACAGATTAGTCTATTGATTAGTCTATAGATAAGTCCATAGATTAGTCCATAGATTAGTACATAGATGAGTCCATAGACTAGTATATAGATTAGTTTATACATTAGTCCATAGAATAGTATATAGATTAGTCCATAGAAAAGTCTATAGATAAGTCCATAGATTAGTCTGTAGAAGAGTATATCGATTAGTCCATAGATTAGTCTATAGATTTGTCCATGGATTAGACTATAGATAAGTCCATAGGTTAGTCTATAGATTTGTCCATAGATTAGTCTATAGATAAGTCTAAGTAGTATATAGATTAATCCATAGCATAGTCTATAGATTAGACCATAGAAAAATCTATACATGGGTCAATAGATTAGTCTATAGATTAGCCCATAGATTAGTCTATAGATAAGTCCATAAAATAGTCATAGATTTGTCCATAGCAAAGTCTATAGATTAGTCCAAAGATTAGTCTTTAGATTGGTCCACAGATTAGTCTATTGATTAGTCTATAGATTAGTCCATAGATTAGTACATAGATGAGTCCATAGACTAGTATATAGATTAGTTTATAAATTAGTCCATAGAATAGTATATAGATTAGTCCATAGAAAAGTCTATAGATAAGTCCATAGATTAGTCTGTAGATTAGTCCATAGAAAAGTATATAGATTAGTCTATAGATTAGTCCATGGATTATACTATAGATAAGTCCATAGGTTAGTCTATAGATTTGTCCATAGATTAGTCTATAGATAAGTCCATAGATTAAACTATAGATTTGTCCATAGATTAGTACATAGTCCACTTCATAGATTAGTCCATAGTTTAGTCCATAGATTAGTCCATTGGCTAGTCTATACATTAGTTCATAAACTAGTCCATAGGTTGGTCTATAGATTAGTCCATATACTAGTCCATATATTAATCTATAGATTAGTCCATAGAATAGTCTATAGATTAGAGTCCATAGAAAGATCTATAGATAAGTCTATAGATTATTCTGTAGATTACTCTATTGAAAAGTCTATAGATTAGTCCATAGATTAGTCTATAGATTAGTCCATAGATTAGACTGTAGATTAGTTCGTAGATTAGTCTATTGATTAGTAAACAGAATAGTCTATAGATTAATCCACAGGATAATCTATAAAATAATCCATAGTCTAATCTATAGATTAGTCCGTAGAGCAGTCCATAGACTAATCGATAGATTATGCCTTAGTCTATAAATTAGTCCATAGGCCACTCTATAGAATAGTCCGTAGATTAGTCCACATATACTATTATATAGATGAGCCCATAGACTGCGTTTAAGCAAAACGAGTTTTAACGATAGTTAGAACGACAAAGTTATAGAGAGGGAGTTCTGAAAGCAACGGATCTAAATCATCACATTGCTTTTGGCATAATTTAAATAAAAATCTATTAAACTAATATCTAAAATATTTCTTTTTCTATCCACAAAAAACACAAACCCTATGACTTCTTTTTTTGTGTACATATCATAATTAAAGAGGCCATAGTGAAAATCATAGGTCTACGTTATCATTATTTTACGGTCCCTTGGAATGTATTTGATTTTCTCTTGGTGTTGGCATCGATATTTGGCATACTCATGGAAGATATTATGATTGATTTGCCGATAAGTCCCACTCTCTTGAGAGTGGTACGAGTCTTTCGTATTGGCCGCATTTTGAGACTAATTAAAGCTGCGAAGGGTATTCGTAAATTGCTGTTTGCTTTGGTAGTATCACTGCCGGCCCTCTTTAATATTGGGGCCTTATTGGGTCTAATAACCTTTATTTATGCCATTTTGGGCATGTCACTGTTCGGTCATGTCAAACTGCAGGGGGCACTCGACGACATGGTCAACTTTCAGACATTCGGTCGCAGTATGCAATTGTTATTTCGCCTAATGACCTCGGCCGGTTGGAATGATGTACTCGAATCGCTAATGATACAGCCGCCGGACTGTGATCCGAATTTTAATCGTCAGGCGAATGGGGATTGTGGCCATCCGCTGCTGGCCATTTCGTACTTTACCAGTTTCATTATAATTAGCTACATGATTGTCATTAACATGTATATCGCCATTATTTTGGAGAATTTCAATCAAGCTCATCAAGAGGAAGAAATTGGTATAGTAGAAGACGATTTGGAAATGTTCTATATCAGATGGTCTAAGTAAGTCTTTCGCTGCTGCTTAACAAAATCCAAAAAAAAATTAAACATAAAAAATCAAAAAAATTATTAGTGCTTTGCTTATCGCATTTTCACATTTCGTCAAAAATCGTGTTTTACTAACCATTTTTAACTCTTTGTTTTTTACACTTTTGTAGATATGATCCCCATGCTACACAATTCATACATTTTGCACAGTTGTCAGATTTTATCGCATCTCTGGATCCACCGTTGGGCATTGCGAAACCAAACACCGTAGCATTGGTATCATTTAATCTACCCATTTCGAAGGGCAATAAAATTCATTGTTTAGATATTCTCCATGCATTGGTGAAACATGTTTTGGGTCATGTCGAAGAGACGGACAATTTCAAACAGTTGCAAGAGCAAATGGACGTTAAGTTCAAAAAACAATTCCCCACGCGTAAAGAATTGGAAATCGTTTCATCTACGCGTATCTGGAAACGTCAAGAGAAGGCAGCTAAACTGATACAGACAACGTGGCGAGAGTATCAGAGGTGGGTTTTCTTTTGTTCATGTTGCTAGAGTTGGTTAAGATAATTTCATTTGTTGTTAAATATTTTGTGGATTTTGTGGTTGTTTTATTTTTATTTTTAACTGAGTAGAAGAAAGAAAGAGAAAGAACGTTCGAATTCGGGTGATAGTGCTACGCAAACATCAAGTCCTGGAGGCTGGCAGGCGAGATTATCATCATTGAATTTCTTTCATTTGCAGGTAAGATTAAAGCTTTTTAAGCTAATGTATGCGGAAAGCTTTTAAATTGCTAAATATCAGGGTTGTTAGAAGAAGTATTAGTAAAGCTTTGGAATTTATGTCAATTAAAAAAGGAAGATTATAACATTTCTTAAAATATCTAGGTTTCAAGACGTGGCACTCAATGCTCAAGTCGAGCTTCTTCGCGCAAATCCTCGCGAGCCTCCGATGCTTCCGATATTAGCGAATTGGCTGGTCCCTGGTTGAATTTACCACTCATGATGGTATCCGGAGCCGATGATGTCGTCAATAATATTAAACAACAAAGTGAAGAGCTTGGCAAGCGGTATTTATATAAATATTTAATATTTTTCTTAAAAATTTTCTATAATCTCAAGAAAAAAATATTGCCTTTTTTGACGAAAACTTAGATTTTTCTTATATTGAACTTTATTTATTAATAAATTTTGTTTTTTTATTCTCAAAATCCAAAAAAAAAAAAAAACTGAAAAAATGTACAATACAAAAACCAAATAAGACCAATTTGTAGAATATCCTCATGTTTATCCTTGACCTATGAGTCCCTACTCTCCGAAATGGTTACCAACATACTAACGAATGGTTCACAACCAAACGATTTAAATTTATTAGAAAATATCAATGATTATTCAAGAGGTAATTAAATAAATAACAAGTGTTTTTTTTTTTCGAAAGGTTTTTATACTTTACACGTAGTAGTTTTACTTATTTTTAAACAAATGAATAATAATACAAAATTTTGTACAATTAATAATTTGATTAATTAATAAAAATTATCCTCAGCTCTTTTGATTTGAATCTTATAAACTTAATTTAAAAAATTTAAATTACATACATTTTGTAAAGAACTTTCAATCACAATTATAAACGATTGGTATTAAGCTTTTTATTCTTCAACAATTTTAGATATTGAATATTGTTTTTCTTTAAAAGCACAGTGGGTTGTTTGGTTTAAGAATTGTTTGAAAAATATTTAAAAAAAAATTTAAATTTAAGAAAAAATATTATGATGATGATTATTATTATGTATGTACTTATAGTTGGGACTTTAGACCCAAGACTTGTATACAGTCGAGACTATAGACTAATCCATAGTCGAAACTGTTGACTAATCTATAGCCGAGACATCTATAGTCAAGACTATAGACTAATCTATAGTCGAGACTATAGACTAATCTATAGTAGAGACTATAGACTAATCTATAGTCGAGACTATAGACTAATCTATAGCCGAGGCTATAGACTAATCTATAGTGAGACTATAGACTAATCCATAGTCGAGACTATAGACTAATCTATAGTCGAGACTATAGACTAATCTATAGTCGAAACTATTGAATAATCTATTGTCAAGACTATAGTCGAGACTATAGACTAATCTATAGTCGAGATTATAGACGGATCTATAGATTAATCTGAAGTATAGACTATAGACGGATCAATAGACTAGTCTATAGTCTAGACTACATACTAATCTATAGTCGAGACTATAGACTTATCTATTATCGAGACTATAGACTAATCTATAAACGAGACTATAGACTGATCTATAGTCGAGACTATAGACTAATATATAATCGAGACTGTAGACTAATCTATAGTCAATGCTATAGACTAATTTATAGTCGGGACTATAGATAAGTATATAGTTTCGAATATAGATTAGTATATAGTCTAGAATAGTCTATCGTTTCGAATATAGAGACTATACACTAATCTATTGTTGAGGCTATAGACTAATCTATAGTCGAGACTATAGACTAATCTATTGTCGAGACTATAGACTAATATATATTCGAGACTATAGACTAATCTATAGTCGAGACTATAGACTAATCAATAGTCAAGACTACAGACTAATCTATAGTCAAGACTATAGACTTATCTATAGTCGTGGCTATAGACTAATATATAGTGGAGACTATATACTAATCTATAGTCGAGACTATAGACTAATCTATAGTCGAGAATATAGACTAATCTATAGTCGAGACTATAGACTAAACTAAACAACTATAGCCGAGACTATGTAATAAACTGTAGTCGAGACTATAGACTAATCTATAGTCAAGACTATAGACTAATCTATAGTCAAGACTATAGACTAATCTATAGTCAAGACTACAGACTAATCTATAGTCAAGACTACAGACTAATCTATATTCGAGACTATATTTAGACTTATATATAGTCGTGGCTATAGACTAATCTATAGTTGAGACTATAGACTGATCTATTGTCGAGTCTATAGACTAATATATATTCGAGACTATAGACTAATCTATAGTCGAGACTATAGACTAATCAATAGTCAAGACTACAGACTAATCTATAGGCTAATCTATAGACGAGATTATAGACTAATCTATAGTCGAGACTATAGAATAATCTATAGTCAAGGCTATAGACTAATCTATAGTCAAGACTACAGACTAATCTATAGTCGAGACTATATACTAATCTATATTCGAGACTATAGACTTATATATAGTCGTGGCTATAGACTAATCTATAGTGGAGACTAGTCTATAGTCGAGACTATAGACTAATCTATAGTCGAGAATATAGACTAATCTATAGTCGAGACTATAGACTTAACTAGACAACTATAGCCGAGACTATGTAATAAACTGTAGTCGAGACTATAGACTAATCTATAGTCGAGACTATAGACTAATCTATAGTCGAGACTATATATATATACTAATCTATATTCGAGACTATAGACTTATATATAGTCGTGGCTATAGACTAATCTATAGTGGAGACTATATACTAATCTATAGTCGAGACTATAGACTAATCTATAGTCGAGAATATAGACTAATCTATAGTCGAGACTATAGACTAAACTAGACAACTATAGCCGAGACTATGTAATAAACTGTAGTCGAGACTATAGACTAATCTATAGTTGAGACTATAGACTAATCTACAGTGGAGACTATAGACTAATCTATAGTCGAGATTATAGACTAATCTATAGTCGAGACTATAAACTAATCTATAGTTGAGATTATAGACAAACATTCTTGAGACTATAGGCTAAACTATAGTCGAGACTATTGAATATGGTTCAGACTACAGACTAATCTATAGTCAAGACTATAGACTAATCTATAGTCGAGACTATCGACTAAACTTTATAGTCGAGATGTAGACTAAACTATAGACCAGTCCATTAACTATAGCTTAAGTTACTAACTAAACTAAGGTGCAGGTTATGCACTCAACTATAGTCTAGACTACAGACTAAACTGTAATTCACTCTATAAATCTGATTGCCCCGAATTGCCCACTGTGTCTATTTACATTCATATATATATTTTTTATTATCAGTTTTCTTAGTAGTTTTCTAACTGAAATACTTAAACTTAATGCTTTTGTAGTGGAATTTTGTTTATTAAACAACAAATAAACTATTGAAATATCAAATCTATAATAATAACAATCTAACTATAATATATTCATAAAATCTAAATCATATAACGTTACATTAAATCACATAGAAATAATTTTTTTTCGTAAAGCGAAACACTTATAAACCAACACCGTCTTATTGTTTTGTTGTCTCAAACAAATTTATGCTTTTTATTTAGTTACTGTAACAAACAAGCCATAGCAGCAGCTAAAACAAGTGTGTTGAATTTACAAAACGTAACTGTGGTGAGTTTCTTAAAAATTTGTATTTTCTTTCTTAACGATCTTCAAAATGAATTTTCGTAGATTTTAACTAACGGAAAATTCATTTTGAATATTGTTAAGCGTGAAAAACTAACAACAAAAAGAAACATTATATAGAAAACCGAAAAAAACAATAAATTAAAACAAAGATGTTGAAACAAGTGTGGTGAGTTTTTTGAAAACAGTGTTGTTTTGTTGTTTATTATATGTTTTTTTTTTAAACAAATTTGATAACTATTTTAAAAATATCTAAAAGAAAATTGTTTTATATAAATAACAAAGCTCAATAAAGAATTTAATAAAATATTAATATTCAAATCAAAATTTTTCTCTTTATTAAGCTTTATTATTTTCAACAAGTTATGAAAAAAATCAAGAAAACTAAATATTTTCAATTAGAAATTTGTTAAAATAATTTCAAATATGTTTCCAACTCTTGAAAAAAAAACACCCAATTTTAAGTTTTATCTATACATTTTTATTATTTTTCTTTTAACAATTCATTAAGATTTTCGTCAAAAAAATTATGCAATTTTTTTCTGTTGTCTTTTTAACACAAACTATAAGTTACTCAATGTTTCTCGTCTCTTAAACATTTTAACATTTATTTCATTATTAATTTTCAAACACAAAAAAAAAAAATAAATTATTAAAAAAAATTACACACAAAATGAAGTGGTAGCATATTTGTGGAAGCGCCTAGAGCTAATCGACGCCGAAGCTTTTATAATTTCTTTTTGCGGCATCAGGATGCAGTTGATGATAGTTTAACTTCACCATCAGTGCATAGAAAAAGTAATTATTTTTGTACCCAAAAACAAAACTATTTTTATTTTTGGAATATTACACCTTCATATTTCATTATTAAGTATCTTAATTTTTTAAACACTTAAGCAATTTTACACTCACACATGTTTACTTTTTATACAATTTAAACATTTATAATTTCAAATATTTCTCATATAAACGTTTAAGCCATTTATTGAAAACACTTACATTTTTGTAAATTTTTTATCTTCCTTTTTATCACCATAATATTATCTAAATCTAAAAGAATGGCTTGTAAATAACATTGATTTCAATATTAGTTTTCTTTTTTTGGAAAAAATTTAAGTTTAAATGTTTAGTTAAAAAATTATATAAATAATCCAAAACAAAAACTTTATAATTATATTTATTTAAAAATATTATTGTTTTATAAGTTATACCAAGTTGTTTTAGTTAGTTTATTGACTAAACTATAGTCAAGACTAAAAAATAAACTATAGTCGAAACTATAGACTGCAATAAACTAAAGTTCAGTCTACAAATTGTACTATGGTGCAGACTATAGGTTTAACTATAGTCCATATTATAAATAGAACTGTAGTCGATACCAGGATATGGACAAAATTATAGACAAAAAAACATAGACAAAACTATAGTCCATACTATAGATAGAAATATAGTCTGGACAATAGACTAAACTATAGTCCTGACTATTGATAAATCCAGACTATAGACTATAATGAAGTTTAGACTATAGACAAAGCTACAGTCCAGACTATAACAAAACATACTAGACAAACTATTAAATAAACTATAGTTCAGACTACAACCCAGACTATAGACTAATATATAGTCAAGACTATGACAAAGACTAAACTATAGTCCAGAAAAAACTATAATCCTGACTATAGACTAAACTATAGTCGTGACTTTAGACTAAACTATAGCCCTGGCTGTAGACTAAACTATAGTCCTGACTATAGACAAAACTAATGTCCTGACTATAGACTAAACTATAGTCTTAACTATAGACTAAACTATAGCCCCGACTATAGACTAAACTATAGTCCTGACTATAGACTAATCTATAGTCCTAGCTATAGACTAAACTGTAGTCAGTATACAGACTAAACTAAAGTCTTGACTATAGACTAAGCTATAGTCCTGGCTATAGACTAAACTATAATCCTGACTATAAACTAAACTAAAGTCCTGACTATAAACTAAACTAAAGTCCTGACTATAGACTGAACTATAGTCCTGACTATAGACTAAACTATAGTCCGGATTATGAATAACTATAGTCTACACTATGACCAAACTATAGTCCAGACAATAGACTAAACTATAGACTTTTCTATAGTCCAGCTTATAGACTAAACTAAAGTCCAGACAATAGATTTAACTATAGTCCAGACTATAAACTAGACTCAAATTAGACTTAACTATAGACTTAACTATAGACTTAACTATAGTGAAGACTATGACAAAACTATAGTCGATACTAAAAAGTAAACTATAGTCCAGACTATTGACCAAACTAGTCTATAGTCCTGACTATAGACTAAACTATAGTCCTAACTATAGACTAAACTATAGTCCTGACTATAGACTAAACTATGGTCCTGACTATAAACTAAACTATAGTCCTGGCTATAGACTAAACTATAGTCCTGACTATAGACTAACTATAGTCCTGACTATAGACTAACTATAGTCCTGACTATAGACTAACTATAGTCCTGACTATAGACTAACTATAGTCCTGACTATAGACTAACTATAGTCCTGACTATAGACTAAACTATAGTCCTGGCTATAGACTAAACTATAGTCTTGACTATAGACTAAACTAAAGTCCTGACTACAGACTAAACTATAGTCCTGACTATAGACTAAACTATAGTCCTGACTATTGACTTAACTATAGTCCTGACTATAGACTAAACTATAATCCGGACTATAGACTAATCTATAGTCCAGACTATGAGAAAACTATAGTCCAGACTATGAGAAAACTATCGTCCAGACTATAGGCTAAACTATTGTTCATACTATGACTTAACTATAGTCTAGACTATGACTCAATAGAATAACCTATAGTTAAGACTATAAGTTTAACTGAAGCCAGACTATGGACTTTACTATAGTCCATATTATAGACTAAACTATAATCTATATAATCTATAATCTATACTATAGATTTACCTATAGTCCAAACCATATACTAAACTATAGTCCAGATTGTAGACTAAACTATAGTCGAGAGTATGGACTAAACTATAGTTAAGACTTTAAGCTTAACTAAAGTCAGGCTATAGACTAAACTATAGTCCAGACTATAGGCTAAACTATAGTCCAGACTATAGATTAAACTATAGTCCAGACTATAGATTAAACTATAGTCCAGACTATAGATTAAACTATAGTCCAGTCTATAGATTAAACTATAGTCCAGACTATAGATTAAACTATAGCCCAGACTATAGATTAAACTATAGCCCAGACTATAGATTCTACTATAGTCCAGACAATGGACTAAACTATAGTCCAGACTATAGACTAAACTATAGTGCAGACTATAGACTAAACTATAATGCAAACTATAGACTAAACTATAATGCAAACTATAGACGAGTCTATAGTCTATAGATCCTACTATAGTGCAGACTATAGACTAAACTATAATGCAAACTATAGACGAGTCTATAGTCTATAGATCCTACTATAGTTCAGACTAAAGACTAAGCTATAGTCCAGGTTGTACACTTAACTATAGTCCATACTATAGACTAAACTATAATCCAGATTATAGACTAAACTATAGTACAGAATATAGGCTAAACTGTAGTCCAGACTTTAGACTAAACTATAGTCCAGACTATAGACTAAACTATAGCCCAGACTATAGATTAGTCTATAGTCCAACCGATGGATTATGTTAAAGTATATACTATAGAATAATGTATAGTCTAGAATATGACTAGACTAGAGACTAAACTGTAGGTCAGACTTCAGATATAGTATAGATTATAGACTAAAGTATAGGTCAGATTTTAGTCAAAAGTCTAGTTTAATCTACTAACACAACTTGGTATGGAGTTAATTATTTAAATATTTCCTTTTCTTTTAAAGCGACTCTATTTTCTTCTTTAACTTTTTTTAACTCTTGATGTTGGTTTGTTTACGTTTTTTCTTCTTCTCCTTCTTCTCAAAAAAACAAAAAAAAAATATGTTTTCTTCTTAACACTGGTTTTTACCTACTTTCGATGCAACAAAACTACAAATTGAAAAAAAAAAAAAAAAAAAAACAAAAAAATCCCTTCAAAAATAATCCAATCAAACAATCAACACTAATTTAGGCATTTCGCCCACAACAGCTGCTATTTCCTCCACCACTTCCCTTGCCACAACAATTGCTGATAATAATACGACTACCGCCTCTTTGGACAAACAAACCATACAGCAACAGGCGGTGGTAGCAACACCGACACGGAAACGTGCTACAAGTTTTATACGTAAAAAACCACCCCTAGAAAGAGGTTTGTCAGCACAAAGCGCTTTAAGAGTTAACAAAAATGCTTTTGTCTGTATGTGTGTCAATGTTTTACGAAACCCGGTTCTAAATTATACTGAGTTTATGCTTTCTTTTCTTTTTCCCTCCCACTTTTTTCTTGGTTTCTTTGCTACAGCTGAGGGTCCTACACCGGAAGTGATTGTAACTAAACCATCGCCAGATCAAAGTGTTATAGTACCATTAGGTTTACGGCCGGAAAATTCGACTTTGGTGCATGTGTTAGTTCATCGAGAGAGTGAGGAGTATAAGGAAGAAGATGATGAGAATGGTTCGAGAGCGGTATCGCCAGCGTTGGGTTTGGGAATGGGTAAGTGGGTTTAAAGGATTTTTTATAAGAAAAAAATTGGTAAAATTTTAATTTTGGATTTGTTTTTAAAACTGTTCTATTAGAAAAACATAAACCACCCCAAATACGTATTAGTCCTGGTTCGGATGATGGTAGCTTAACAATTTTGGACTCAGTACAGTTATCAACGGTACAGATAATGATTGAATCCCCCAAAGAACCACCTAGAGGTGATTTCTCAGCAGATTTCGATGTGCAACAGCAGCAGCAACAACAACAACAACAGGAAGTTGCAGTTACGCCTGTTATTGAAGAACCAATCGATGTCAATATACAGGGTGATACATCAAAAGTATTCTACGATTACAATCCCGAGGAGGCCAATGAAATTGTGGTATTAGAAACTCTAACCGAAGAATCGCCTAAATCTGAAGATATACCAGCACTGCCAGATATACCAGTGCCGCCATCCTCTTTTGATTTCACCAACGAAATCACAGGCACTGAACAACTGAAAATAATACCAATAACAACAACAACTACAACGATTTTAGCCGAAGTTGAAGAGAAATTAGATGTAATATCTTCGCAAACATCTCCACCAACAACAACCACCACCACAACACAAACCAAAGTACCACAAACACAACCCATATCAACGGCAACAGCCACACCGACAACTTCAGCAACATCAGCATCATCATCAACGACCACATCACCAGCCTCTTCACAAACATCAAATGAAGATGATTTCGATGAACGTGATAAGGCTCACACCGGTGATCAGGATGATGATGATGATGATGCTAATAACATCAGATGACATTCACCCAAAACAGCAGTGGTGATTACAAAAACATCCAGTTCTAGTAGCACCAGTTGCTGTAGTTCCCGACCCCATTCGAGTCCCTACAGTTCGGGTACGGACCAAAATGATGATGATCCTTTAGAACAGGATAATCAACAATTCAGTTGACAACATCGTATCTGAGTAAAAACCTACAAATACTATTATAATTATTATTATATTTATTATAACTATTATTATAATTGTTATAGTTGTTGTTATAAAGAGTACATCTACAATTTATCAAATTATACTCGAATCATGTTAAACGTTTTTTTGTTAAAGTTTTAAAATGATAACGATTAATAATTCCAAATTAAACAAAAACAAAAACCAAATATTTATATAAAAATTTAAAACTAAAATTAGTTAAAAAGAACCCAAAACCTTTTAAAAACCCCCAAAAAGAAATAATATAAAGCAATCAATTTCAATAAAAATAAATTTAATGTAACTAAAATTTAATTACATAAATAGTTAATAAATTAAAGAAAAAAAGTGAAAATTAAATAAAATAAGTATTTGCATGGAAATCGAATGTTAACATTATAAAACAATATCATACAAAGAACAAATTAAGTAAACGAATAGATTTAAATTACAGAAAACAAAACTGAAATTGTTATAGTTTTTAATTAATGCTATTTTATTTGATTTTTTTTAATTATATAGTTGGTACTTTAAGTCTATGCTTTGTAAATATTTATGTTTAGCAAGAATTTAAGAAAAAAATTATATAAACTAAATACAGTGCGTTTCACAAAATTCTAGCACTTCATGTCAAGATAAGACTAAAGTCCATAAAGTGGACTAATTAAGGCTACAGACGCAAGTTAAGTCACGATAATAATCAACTGTATAATCCAGTCTAGATTCTAGACTATACTGTAGACTATAGACTAGAATTTAGAATAGACTTTTTTATCGAATTTAGACTAGAATTTAGACTAAACTGTACTGTAAACTAGTCTTTGGATTAGTCTATAGTGTAGATAATATACTACACTATAGACTATAATAGACTAAACTATAGACTAGACCATATTCTGGACTATAGACTAGACTTTAGACTACACTATATTCTAAATTCCGACTATAGACTAGACTTTACACGATAACTTAGACTATAGACTAGACTTTAGACTACACTATAGTCTAGACTATATACTAGACTCAAGACTATAGACTAAAGTACTGTCCAGACTATATATTAAACTATAGTGCAGACCATAGACTAAACTATAGCCCAGACTATAGATTAAACTATAGTCCAGACCATAGACTAAACTATAGCCCAGACTATAGATTAAATTACAGTCCAGACTATATATTAAACTATAGTCCAGACTATAGACTAAACTATAGTCCACACTATAGGCTGAACTAAAGTACAGGCTATAGAGTAAACTACAGTCCAGACTATAGACTAAACTATTGTTTCGTAAAACATAGTCTAAATTCCGACTATAGACTAGACTTTACACTATAACTTTAGACTACAAGATAATCTAGACTATAGACTAGACTGTAGACTACACTATATTATATGCTATAGACAAAAGTTTAGACTACATTATAGTCTTGACTATAGACTAGACTTTAGGCTACATTATAGTCTAGAGTCTAAACTATAGACTAGACATTAGAGTGCGTTATAGTCACTCTGAACTATAGACTAGATTTAAGACCAAACATAGTACAGATCTAGAATATAGACTGGATAGACTAGAATATTTGTAGTTTAGACTATATAATAGACTTGAGACTACACTATAACGTGACTTTATAGTGGACTATATACTAGAGCTTTGACTAGACTGGACTATAGATTTTACTATGGTTTAGACTATAAGCTAGACTTTAGGATACACTATGGAATTAACAATATTCCCGACTTTGGATTAGATTATAGACTTGACTGTAGATTAGACTATAGTTTATACTTTAGACTATAGTATGTACTATAGACTAGAGTAGACTATATAGCTTAGACTAGTCTGGACTATGAACTGCACTTTCGACTAGAATATAGAATACATTTTAGATAAGACTGCAGACTCGACTAGAGTCTAAACTATAGACCAGCCTTCAGACTTAACTGTAGACTAACATTAGATAAGACTAAAGAGAAGACTAGTCTATAGTTCTAAAGTCTAGACTATAGACTTGACTTTGTTTCAAACTATAGGCTAGACTTAATATTCGAGATTCTAGACTAGACTACATAGTTTGGACTATGCTATATTCAAGACCCTAGACGATACTATGGACTAGACTATAGACTACAGTTTAGACTACTTAATACTAGAATTTAGTCTTCATTTTAATCTATACTATATACCAGACTATACTATAGACTTATGACTATAAACAAAACTATGAATTAGAATATAACTAGACTTTAGAATAGAATATAACTATACTATAGTTTATACTATGAACTTGACTATATTCTAGACTTCAGACTAGACTTTAGACCAGACTATAGACTACACTTTAGATAAGACTATAGTCTAAAAAGTAGACTAGACTATGGGCTTGGATATAGTCTATTCTAGAGGCTAAACTATGTTCAAAACTATAGGCTAGACTTTAGTCTACATTATAGTCTGTACTATAAACAAATCTATAGTTTATACTTTGACTAGGCTATAGACTAGACTGTAGCCTGAACTATAGACAAGACTTTAGACCAGATTATAGTATATTATATACACTATATTCTATAGACTAGATTTAAGACTATATTCAAAACTTTAAACTAGATGTTATAGATGTTGTTTATACTACAGACTAGACTAGAATATAGTTTATATTATAGACTAGATTTTAGACTATGCTCTAGACTTTAGACTAGTCTATAGTATGACTAGATTACATTCTAGATTTTATAATATATTATAGACTAGATTAGAGTTTATATTATAGACTTTAGACTAGATTATACTCTTGACTATAGACTAGGCTTCAGACTTCACCATAGTCTATAGTTTATAATATAGACTAGTCTATACGCTAGGATATACATAGTATAAACTATGAACTTTCGACTAGACTATATTTTGGAATATAGGCTGCGGCGAAGACTGCACACTTGTCTATAGATTAGACTAGAGTTTAGACTATATGTTAGACTATACTGGAGTCTAAATTTTAGACTAGATTTTAGGCTAGACGAATGTCTAGACTATAGACTATAAACTAGACTATATTGTACTTTAAACTGCAGACAATAGCCTGTAGAGGACTATAGTCAAGACTATAGTTAATAATATAGTCTATTTGAATCAAAACAATAGTTAAGACACGACTTTATTTATATCTCATGGGTATAAATATAATCAAGACTATAGTCAAGACTTTTGAAAAGTCTGTAGTAAGGACTATAGTTAGTTTGAAAGGAGTATGTATGTTATATCAAATCCGAAGAAATACATCAAGGCCCTAACCGGACCTGTTGTGTGCTCCTTTACCAGTGTCTCTAATACTAACCACTAACCTATCAGAGGCACATGTCTATAGTTCAAGATTCAAAAACAAGGCTTGTTCAAGATTATAGATAAAACTCAAGTCCACAAAATAGTCTTGACAATTCCGGGTGGTCAGATTGTAGAAAACCGAATCGAATCGCTTGTAATTTCATTAAAATGGGTTTAAAATGAAAAGAATGGACTTGTTTTGTGGTTACCCAGCTTTTTCGATCGCAGACCTAAAATAGCTAAAATCGGGTGTAATCTTGTGATTACTCATAGCATGTTTAAGAAATCGATTTTTTATGAACACCTATTTTATGAACATTCTTCGTATTAGGTTTACTTTGTGTAAATCTGTGGTCGTGGTTACCCGACTAAAATGTTCTACTATAATTTCCGAAATCGTTAGAAATGATAAAATAATATTAATATAGTTAAGAACTATAGCTAATGAACCTTGAAGCGTACTAAATATATTTAATTAAAAATAATTAACTTCTTAGAAAAAAAGGTTTGATTAAAAGACAAATTTAAGGCACTGCCAAGAAAATAAAATGTATGTATGTATATATAATGTAATACAAAATAATTAGTTATACTTATAAACCTAAAAAATAATTAAAAAATTTTGTAAATAACTTAAATATAGTTATTAATTTACCACTTGCATTTTGCCAAAATAAACTAAGTTTAGTAATTTGTTAAATAAATAGAAAAATAAAAGTTTAAAAAATTGAATTTAAATCAAAACCATTATAGAGGGCGCTAGTATATTATATCTTAATTTTAATTTTAAAAAAAAAACTTAGTTAGTAAATAGAAAACTTTCTTTTTATTTTAAATTAAATAGAATTTAAAACAGAAGAAAACTGTAAAGAAAACGCCAAAAAAAAAGAAAACGAAAATTAAAAAAGAATAATAAAAAATATTGTAAACTATATAATTTTATATTGAGTTTTAAAATAAATAGTTTAGTTTTAAAGTTAATGTTTAAATTTAAGTAAAAAGTTAAAAAAATAAACTTGTATATATAAAATGAAATATTAGCACAATATTGTCAACAAAGCTCAAATTGAAATTATTTAAATTAAACAATATTGTTTTTAGATTTAATTTTAAAGAATGTAAATAGTTTTTTTTTAGTTTTTTGTTATATTAGCAAAATGATTAATTAATAAGTAATTAATATAAATAATGAACTTAATGAAACATTTAATAGAAATAATAATAATAATAATATGAAATTGCTAATAATCAAAATAAAAACATTGTTAATGGCTTTGTTAAACAAATTGACAGAAAAGTTTTAATTTTTCCCATTTCGATTTTGAAAAACTAAAATGCTTATTGTTTTATATTATAAAAAGGCTTTAACAAATTGATCTGGCAAGTTATAGTTCTAAGCGATTTTTGAAAACACCAAAGAATTCGACAATCTCGGGTTATTGCGTAATTATTTAGGCAGCCGATGTTTTACTAAACATTTCATATTCATACTTATATATAGGGAATCCGCTAAGGTCTACGTTTCTATTATAGTCCCATGTTATATCAAGTTCCGGGCCTGATAATTGTGCTACTTCTAAAAGCTTTCGTCTATAAATATATTGAACAAAATGAGGTAGTGGTGGAGGAACAAAAAGTATGGGGTATCGTAAGGACTATGACCACATTCTTTAAATTTATTAGGGACGACATGGTCTATGCGGGCCTAGTTAGTAATGATCCTGTTGCTCCCTTCCGACCTGAGTTGTACCACAACTACTCTTGTTTTGGCCTCCTGCGTCCTCCGATTTGATGATATTTCTTTGAATGTCATTCAAAGCTGTCATATATTAGGTACGTGTAGGTCGTATGTTATCTTCGTGTTGATCTAACTCTGATATAATTGTAATATCCCATCATAAACTGTTTCTTGACTGGGAGGACATTCGATTCTCCATGTAGACGGTATTTAGAAGTTATTTGCAGCTCGTAGGGCCGCTTTAAATCCCTACTTCAAGAGCTGCCGGCTAGCGATTTGACTACCTTGTTTCTATACTAAACTTTAGACTAAATTATAGACTATATTATGCTGTAGACTAGACTATAGACTACACTATAGGCTAGACTTTAGGCTTGACTATATTCTAGACTTTAGTCTACACTAAAGTCTAGACTATATTCCAGGATATAGTCTACAGACTACACTAGATTCTAGACTATAGACTATACTAAAGATTCGCCTATACTACAGACTAGACTGTAGACACGACTTCAGCGTAAAATATAGACTAGACAATAGTCTAGACTGTATACTCCACTTCAGTCTTGAATATAGACAATAGTCTAGATTATAGACTAGACAATAGCCTAGATTATAGACTAGACTATAAATTAGACAATAGTCTAGAATATAGAATAGACAATAGTCTAGACTATAGACCAGATAATAGTCTAGACTATAGACTAGACAATATACTATAGATTAGACAATATACCATAGACTAGACAATAGTCTAGACAATAGTCTAGACTATAGACTAGACAATAGTCTAGACTATAGACTAGATAATAGTCTAGATTATAGACTAGACAATAGTCTAGATTATAGACTAGACAACAGTTTAT